CTCGACTTCAAAGGACAACCCCTATATTCCGAGCTCTCTGAGAGGGGAAAAAAAGAAAGTTGGGGTGGGGGGCGCTTGTGCGTAATGAAGAATCTAGTATTTCATTCTTTTTTGTGAACATGCTTAGTTTGAAAATTTCGTTTAGCATACTAACTTATAGGTGGCTAAAAATCTGGCATAGCGTAAAAAGAAAAATACAAACAAATGGGGGCTGTGACACTTTGGTTGGGGGATGTTTAAAGACTCTTTAGAAGTAAAATAAAAAGAAAAGATGCGATTTATAATCCAGAATTAGTTAACTATAACTGCCTGTATTTAATTATTAAAGAATACATGTAAGTTTACATGATAAAATTTTTTTTAAATACGAAATGCGCTAAGAAATAATATACGCACCTGAACTGCACTTTAACCCAAACTAATTGTTGTGTCTCAGACTCAGGGTGCGTGTTGCGCCACTTAGGCCTCTTGTGGCTATGCTGTATCATTTACTAAGGTAGCCTTTAAATTTAATTTCATTTGATTAGTCAAATGCTTGTTTCTTAATAAATATTTTACCATTCTCCTTTTCATTGTTTTGACTTGAATAGTAGGCCTAAATTCTACTTAAAGACTCAAGAGACTGATGAGCCACATTAACCACATTTTTTCAGGCTGCGCTTGTGTCAATGTTATCAGGCTGACAATAGTATAATGGAAATTAGATCCTGCCAACTCATCTGCTTACAGAAATCACATGGAGCCATTCTCCTTCCTGATGGAACCCCTATAACTATTGGTCGGAGTCCAGAAACACGAATCATTGATCCCAGATGTTCCAGGAATCAAGGTTTTGTCTCATCTTCATTGCTATTTACAAATAATGTTAAAATAATTATAAAATTGCTTTTAATCTTACTTTTTAAATCGTCAGGGGACAGTGTTAGGATGTTAAAGAGAAATCTTCAAACTTGTTGTTGACTATTGGTGTTTACTTGTAAGGACAACAACCAAATTTCATTTAAAATTATAAATCAGGACTGTTTAAATGTTTAAGATTCAAGATAACAAGTTAATCAATCTGTTTAAACCTGATAAGTTTATAACTTGATATTAACAGACCTTTGGATATTTATTAACTATGAAGTTCTTTTTAAAAAAACATTCACATTAGTAGATGATATGAAATTTTGTATACAAACTATTGATACTTGGACTTTGGAATTTCAAGCCCTCTCATATCTTGAAACTGTTTCTAAAAAATCGTTACCACAACCACATTATCTTTAAACAAATCTGGTTGTGAGCATTAAAATTACAACTAAATATTTATTATGGGTATCTGTTGTAATCTGGAAACCAGATTTTGATACCTTTTTATCCGTATCCGGAAATTTGATCGAAAGAAATTTCGTCGACGGTAAATTGATCGACGGTAATTTGATCGAACGGAAATTTGGTCGAATCAATTTTTCAGTTTTTACGTTAAAATTTTGCTTCAAATTTCTTTTTGAGCGCATTATTTTGTTTTACTATAAAGTATAGTGCGTTCAAAAAGAAATTTTACGAAAATTTTGACGTGTGAACTGAAAAAAAGATTCGACCAAATTGTATGTATTTTATCTAATACATTAAAGTGTAAGTTATTGATTGTTAAAAGAATAAAAATATATTTTTTATTAAAATTATTTTACAGTTCAGTTAACAGCTGATTATAAAAACTATAAAGTGAAAGTCAAGCAGCTTGGTGCCAACAATTCATCAATAGATGGCATTGACATTTTACAAAATGAAGAAGCTGACATGGGTAAAGATTCGATTCTTTTTATTTTGTCAGGTAATTATTTTTTTTTCTCTTTAATGTGTTGAGTTGATGGAATGTACATTATTTGTAAACAATAGTTTAACAGCCTTGTATGTTACTATGCAATGTAACAACTTATCATCATGTGGAAATAATAAATATTATAAAATTTGCTTTTATTCTACAGGACAGTTCCCTCACAGAGTAAATTTTAATACTGAAAATCCAAGCAAGCCTGACTCAAATGCACAGAAAAAGTCATCAGATGTGACTGAAAAGAATGTTAGTTCAGTAAAAGAAAAAGTTAACCCTGCATCAGACGTTTCTGAAAAAAAATTCAGTTCAGCAAAAGAAAAAGATAACCCTTCAAAATCATCATCTAAACGTCACTCTACAGATGTGAGTGATTATCCTAAAAATAAAAAATTAAAAACTAGCAATGGCAACTTTAACAAAGATGATGCGGATAAAAAAATAAAAACAGAGAAGAATCATAATGTCAAAGTAAAGACAGAAGTACAAATTAGCAAGAGTGATGCATTTAAGTCTAGCAAAGATGAAGATGAACATGAAAAAGTTGTCACTGCAAAACTTGAGTTCATTAAGGAACAAGTCATGAAACAAAAATCTTCTACTGCTCCTACTCAGAACAATAAAAAGGAAAAACCAACATCTTCACCTGCCTTACCATCATTGGGGAAATCGTCATCAGCTACAGTTGGAAAAACTTCATCATCTTCACCAACACCCGCTAATGAGAATACCTGGACCAATCATGAACATCTTTATGTGTTTACATCAAAAGGTGTAAAGCCAAGCACTAAGGTATTGGCAAACATACATTTTTTGGTCATATTATTATTATTATTATTACTACAGTAATCTTATATAGCACAGTACTCCAACCTTGGGCTGGGCTCAAAGCGCTTCATATCAAAATATTGGCTAAAATAAACACAACATTAAAACGTTATATACATTTATTTAATTAAAAAAAACAGCTTCATATAAAAAATATATACATCCCCACCCCCAAATTATTTACATGCCAAGCCATGACATTTTTTTGTATCACATACCTCTCTATCCCAAAAAGATTCATGCAATTGATAAGCCTTTTAACTATTTATAAATTAAGTATATCATCCACGATGGCCCAAAAAAATTAACAATTCTAATTATTTTTTTGAAAGTGTGTTGTTTTTTCTTGAAAGAATAATAATTAAAGACTTTTATATTAATTAGATTGCAGCTTTTGATCTAGATGGGACTATAATTCTAACCAAGTCTGGTCGAACATTTCCATTGGATAACAATGACTGGAAGTGAGTATTAATTAAATTTAAATGATTTTTTTTAAAAATCCAATGTTCGTTTGATGTAGTTATCAGTTGTTGTTTTCAGTTTGCATAGTATGAGATGTTTTAATAAGATATATTTGTTTGAAGGTCCTAATTGACATTAATGATATATATCAGACCTGCACAACTCAAAATGTAAGGCGGGCGTAATACTTTTAGAAAAACTTGTGTGGGCCAAAAGAAAATAGGACAGCACTTGTGTGGGCCAAAAGAAAAAAGGACAGGGGGGGGGACCTATTAAGAAAATAATAAGAATAAAGAATATTTCATTACTTCGCGGGCCGCAAAGTGGGTGCTGGCGGGCCGCAGGCTGCATGTTGTGCAGGCCTGATATATATATTAAATGACAAAGTGTGGGTTATATCAACATTGATCGTATACTAACCCTATGAACATCAGGAAAAATAAAAAATTTTTTTATTAATTTAAAATGTTTTTTGGAATTCATGTCACACAATTTTTTTTTTTTTTTTTTTTTATATTTAAAAAAAAATTATTTTTTTTTAATTATTTTTTCTTTAAAAAAAAAAAAAAAAAAAAAAAAAAAAAATTTTTTATTTATTTTAAAAGGTTTTTTGGAATTCTGTCACCAAAATTTTTTTTTTTTTTTTTTTTTAAATTTAAAAAAAAATTATTTTTTTTAGAATAATCTTTCCTGACGTATTCAATGAGCTGAAAAAGTTGAATCAAGATAAATATAAAATTGTTATTTTCACTAATCAGGTAACTCTTTTTTCCTTTTCAAAATAAATTTCTTAATAATTATAATTACGTTTAAAATAGTTGAAATTAACTTAAATTTTGTGTGAAATAAAACTTATATTTTAGCCTCTTTAGTGCTGTTGTGGTCTGGGCAATCCTGGACATCAGTTCGGGCTTTGAGCCTTCTTCAGAGACTATTGCTCCAAGGTATTTGAAGCTGCCACAGTCTCTAGTCCTATCTCCGCGACCTTAATTTCAGTGACGATGCCGGTGGTGCTATTTGTCATCAGTTTTGTCTTTTCGGCACTGATTTACATGCTATAAGATGATGAAGTCTTGTCGAGACACTTTACTAGGTTGGCTAGCTCTTCTTGGTTCCCAGCCAGTCCATCTATGTCATCCGCAAAGCGTAGGTTGGTGATTGTTCTGACACCAATGCTGATTGTCACTTCATGCGCTTCCAGAGCATCTGACATAATTCTCTCTAGGATGATGTTGAACTGGGTGGGGGAGAGCAAGCAGCCTTGTCATACTTCAACCGCGGTCTTGAACCATTCTCCGATGTTGTTGAAGAAGACTGCACTGGTAGCACCAAAATATGGCTGATGCGCTCATTAGTCCTCTCCATTTTCCTGTATGCCTTCGAATCCTGGACATTAATAGCAGAACCTGAAAGGAAAATAAAAGTGATGGAGATGAGATGTTTCAGAAGCATTCTTGGCATCTGCTATAGGGACCATATCTCCACTGATCAAGTGAAAGAAAGGGTTCGTCAAGCAATGGGGCAGTACGATGACTTCTGGTCACTGTAAAAAAGCGCAAACTACAATGGTATGGCCACATGACAAGGAAACAAGGGCTCGCCAAAGAAATCATGTAGGGCACAACGAGAGGAGGGAAAAGAAGAGGAAGACAAAGAAAAAGATGGGAAGATAACATCAAAGAGTGGACTGGACTAAAACTAGGTGATGCTATGCGTAGTGCAGAAGACAGAGACGAATGGAGGAGGATAGTTCACTTGTCATCCTTGGCCCCCAACAGTACAAGGTCTAACGGACATGATGATGATAATATGTTTGCACAAAGTCAGAATTTTTGTATTATTGACTAAAACTCTTTTTTGTATTCAGCAACCTGTTAGTTGTTTCTCTACATCCATTAGTATCTGTGTTAAATGTTTTGAATATTCTTAAAATATTTGTTCTAAATATACCAGAAACCTCTACTAGATAAAGATTTCAAATTACATGTATTTAATGATTTAGATGGTTCCACAACACATTATTCGTGATTAAGCCACTTAAAAATAATAAATTGCTAATAATTGTTATTGCCATTTTAATAAATTATTCATTCGTATGATCTTGCTTAGCTCGGTGTTTCTAAAGGAAAGACAAAGATAGATGAATTAAAGGCAAAGATAGAAAATGTTGTGGCCAAGCTGCAAGTTCCAGTCCAGGTTTTTATAGCGACACATGATGGGAAATACAGAAAGCCAAGTTGTGGCATGTGGGAAAAGTTAAAAAATGATGTAAGCAGACATTTCACTCTGCTTCAGTTTTAGAGCTTTAACATTATGTATGCTTAAAACTAATGAAATTTACCATAAATTCTTCAGCCAATTTTTTAAAGTAAAAAAATTATTTACCATATCAATTTACACTTCATGCACTTCCATTATTAGAAATTAAAGGTTGCTTTGTTAGGGTCCTTTAATTTGTAATGATATCAGTGTTGTTAATTAATAACTAATCACTCACTCTTGGGGCCTGAACAAATTCACCCTATGTAGGCAAAAAAATAAAGCCTTCTTTAAAAGATGAGCAAGCAATCTGGTAACATTATGATGTGATTCCATTGTCAGATCTACCATACCTGTCAGAATAACCTTTGTTTTTATTTGTTTGTATTATGTTGTGCTGAAGTTAGCTGTTTAAAAAATGGATGCTGTAAATCAGTAGGGAGCAATCTTTGAGTCAAGACTTTTTTTCAGGTTACAAGGATTTAATCCCTTATTTCATTTTATTTGCAACAGTGGTTTACCATAATACAAATACATTTACATCAAAAGGAATGTAACCTGTGCACATAATTTTATATAATTTTATTTTCTAGTACAATGGAGGCATAAAAATTGATAGAAAGGAAAGCTTTTATGTCGGAGGTAAGCCAGGAAGTGATTTTCTTTTGTGATGCTGAAAGTCTGTCAGAATTTATTTATGAAGCAATTTTGGATATTTCATATTTAATTTTATTTTGGCTTGTCTCCAGAGGGAAATGACACATAATTCCTCTTGGACACCCATTTATACCCTGGGCTTTGAATTTTACAAAAATTCTTGAAGATAAAAATATGTAAGGTTGATGTTATAGAGTCCAAGAGTGATGTGAAATGGGAATTTAATTAATATATATTAAAACAAAAGTGTTACTAATTTACACAAAACATTTCAATGGTTGGTGGAGCAATTAATCTGATCCAAGAGTTGTTTTATTTTTATTCTAAGCACCAACCAATGTACAAACTCATATCCACCTAGAGAAGTTATCCCTGTAATGTCATATGATCTGTTAAAAAGGATTCCCTTAATTCGCAGAAACTTTTGCTTTAATTCACAGATGCTGCCGGAAGGCCAGCTAATTGGGCACCTAAGAAAAAGAAAGATTTTTCCAGTAGTGACAGACTTGTAAGTTTATTTTACTAATTTCCTCTTGTTGCTAAGTTTCCTCGTCAGCTGACAACACTAAAGAACTTATCCCAAACATGATGGAAGTTGCATAAACAACAGGATGCAATGCCTGTGAAAATTATAAAGCCATGTGCCAATGCACCTTGACCACTGACTGTTGAAATAAGCACAGGTTATTTTAGAAATCTGTGTTGTCAGTTTTGCCAAGTTTAATTTGTCTTATTAAAATTGAATGGTGCTCCTTCTCAGAGCTATTAAAAGGAGTAGAAATTCAAATGAAGGCAATGTTAAGTTATTTTGTTTCTAATTTTGCAGTCTTCGTTTTTAAGAATTTTTTTTTTTTAATTTCATTTGTTTGTTTTTTTTAAATTTCATTTGTTGTTTTTTTGTGTTTAGTTTGCCTTAAACATTGACATGGCCTTCAAGACACCTGAAGAGTATTTCCAGAAACAAAAACCTGCTCCATTCATAATGCCTGCATTTGACCCAGTGAGTTTAAATTACTCTTTTCTTGTAGCACGCTAACCAGAATATTTTCCTCCACAGAAATTTTTGGTAGCACTTTGAATTTTCAAAATTAATTTAATTAAAAAATAGCCTTAGTAAGTAGTTTACATGTTTTTAAAAAGCATAATTTACTAACTCTTTCATAATAATCTTTTTCAGAGGAATATAGCGTCTAAAGACCCGCTACTGTCTTCAAAAAGCAAACTTGTTGCAGATGAGAAGGAGGTAGAGTGTATCTTTTTAAACATATGTTTGTTAATTCTTTGGCTCAAGCATCTCACAAAATTTGATGGTTTGACATCATACATATTTATTTATAATCCCAGTTTGGGACACTTAAATAATTTTTTTTTTCCTTCTCTCCTAATATAATAATGTTAATCTGTCCTAACATAATAATGTTAATATCTCTTAACATATTAATGTTAATCTGTCATGACATAATAATGTTAATCTTTCTTAACATAATAATGTTAATATGTCTTAGCATAATAATGTTAATATCTCTTAACTTATTAATGTTAATCTGTCTTGACATAATAATGTTAATCTGTCTTAACATATTAATGTTAATCTGTCTTGACATAATCATGTTAATCTGTCTTAACATAATAATGTTAATCTCTCTTAACATAATAAAGTAAATCTATCCTAACATAATAAAGTTAATCTGTCTTAACATAATTAAATCTGTCTTAACATAATAATGTTAATCTCTCTTAACATAATAACTTGATCTGTCTTAACATAAGCTAGAAAAATTAATTTGTGGAAAGGATTTCATTTAACTTTTAGTATTTAAAAATGACCATTGTTTCTGTACTTACTTCAGGTGGTAAATTCTATTCAATTTCTTTTTTTATCTCTTGTAACAGGTGGTTGTTCTTGTTGGGTTTCCAGCCAGTAAGTTTGTTGGTTTGTTCATTTAGCCTACAGCATTGTTATAAACAATGAAAACTTTATATGTGAAATCATCTTGTAATTGATATCATGTTAGACAATAATAAATGCTACAATTCTCCAGCCAGTTAACAGAACATATATTGGATCAACATTAGTTGAAAATAACATGAACTTTATTTTATCTTAAATTATAATTTTAATATTTTCCGCCCTCTTATTGTTTGCATTTTCAAGAAATGTTTATTTTAGTTGTAAACATTTTTTTTTCAGGCGGCAAGTCCTTCTTTGCTAATGAAGTTATGAAACCCAAAGGCTATGTGGTTGTCAACAGGGTAATTTTATCCTTTATTCCATTGGCTTGAAACAGCCAGCAAGCTAGCTATGCATTTCAGTTGTACTGAAGCCACAAGTGTTTGCACTTTTTTTTAAAGCAACTTGTTTTTATTTTACCTTGATCTCCTATACAATCACGAATTTATCTCATTCATTGGAATTAGCATGCATTTTTATATTCTCCCTATTTATTTTCAACATTAACTGTCTATCATTACAAGCCTTAATGACCAACACCGATACAAAAGTATTTTGTTACTTTTATTTATATTTTAGCATTAATACAACAAATGCATCTGTCTGAACCTTCCCTAGCCAAAGTGTCTATCATCATATAAAATATTTAAACAAAATTAGATGTTAAACATCTCCCCAAAAGCAGCACAAGTAAAAGTGTATTGGTCCCTGGGAAGCTGAGAGAGGACAACAATAAATAAAAGTGTATTGGTCCCTGGGAAGCTGAGAGAGGACAACAATAAATAAAAGTGTATTGGTCCCTGGGAAGCTGAGAGAGGACAACAATAAATAAAAGTGTATTGGTCCCATTTGTAATTGGAAAGCTGAGAGAAGACAACAATAAAAAATAAGTGTATTTCAGTCATGTCAGGGTTGATGTAAATACAAAGTACGTAGTGGTATATTATAAATGTAAAAAATGTAATGATTTAATTTCAAATGAGAACTTGTAGATGTTCCTCTATGAAAAATGGCTGGCAAGCTGTGTTTGGACAGCTTTGCTTTGATGAAAGTGTCATCTTAAACTTTTGTCAGCATTGGCCATTGTTAAACTTCAGATGTATGTTTCACAACAGGACACCCTGGGTACCTGGCAGAAGTGCGTCAAGGCTGTGACACAGTCTCTAGTGAATTCAAGTGTGGTAGTTGACAATACGAATCTTTCCAAAGATGAGAGGGCGCGGTGAGAAGCAGTCTGTGATATATTATTGTTAGTGTTAGAATGTCTTTGTGGTGAGTAGAAGGCCATGTGGATAACATGATGGATTTGTTGGGGTTTGTCGATTCAGAGACTAAAAGTAGCAACTGAGATGAAGTTCTAAACCAAAATGGTTGGAAGACGCACATTGCAGATATATGAAGTGTACATTAGCTCTATTTATGGAAGCTGAATAATGAAATTTGAAAACTGGTTTTTATTTTTCGCTCTTGCCATGAGCAAATTTCCAAATGTAAACTTTGTACTTCAGTATTTGGTAGTTATAATAATTCATTCAGCAGCGTCAAAGATCATTGTTAATATGTGACTAGAGCCGACAAAATTAAGATTAGGAGACTGTCACCATCCATGAATGGTTTCTTACATCAAATTCTATAACATGTTCATACATTGTAATCACACCGAATTGAAAAGAAGTCCCTATTCCAATAACATGTTCATACATTGTAATCACACCGAATTGAAAAGAAGTCCCTATTCTAATAACATGTTCATACATTGTAATCACACCAAACTGAAAAGAAGTCCCTATTCCAATAGCGATGTAAACTTTAATCCAGAAACATATGGCTGTGCTATGAATCAAACACATGAAAAACGCAGCTTGCCTAAAGCAGAAGAATATTGTATGTTATGAACTGGATTTGGGAGCGTGATTGTTTGTTTATGAAAGGTTTGGAGAGGTTTTGTGGGGGTGAGTAGTGATTGGTCGGGTGATGCAAGGTTAGTTCATTCTGAGTTCATTTGTCAGTATGCTGTGTATCATAGTAGTGAGAAAGGTCCAAGTCCAAGTTTAGTCAGTGAGATAAAAGTGATTTGAGGATAAGTGGCTAGTTTATGGAAGATTTTGTGGAGAAAATTTTGTCAATTGCCAGTTGCTGTGATGATCAAGAATTGTTATCCTTTCATTGAATGTTGATTTTTTATCTTAAGAGTGGACCAAGTATGGCTGTGTGTGAAGTGAAGAGTGGGCCAAGTATGGCTGTGTTTGAAATGAAGAGTGGGCCAAGTATGGCTGTGTGTGAAGTGAAGAGTGGACCAAGTATGGCTGTGTGTGAAGTGAAGAGTGGGCCAAGTATGGCTGTGTGTGTGAAGTGAAGAGTGGGCCAAGAATGGCTGTGTGTGAAGTGAAGACTGGACCAAGTATGGCTGTGTGTGAAGTGAAGAGTGGGCCAAGTATGGCTGTGTGTGAAGTGAAGAGTGAACCACGTATGGCTGTGTGTGTGTGTGTGAAGTGAAGAGTGAACCACGTATGGCTGTGTGTGTGTGTGTGTGAAGTGTGGACCCGGTATGGCTGTTGTAACATTTGACACACACGGAATATCCTTAAGAAAAAGGTTATAACATTTTTAAGTGCAGAACTTCCATCAGAAATAAGATTATAGCAAGCATCATCCACTAAGTTCTCTTGTTACCTGCTAGACAAATAGCATGTACACCAAAGACAGACTGCAGACACAACTCACAATTACAATGGAAATACATATTTCACAACCCTAAAGGCATAAAAGCTTCATTAACTAAAATAACACACAAGACACACAATAAAACCATCGGTGTGCAACAATTACTGGTGAATACCCATACTTGACAGTGACAGAGACTATTGACATTTATTTATTTAAGCATGCCATTTAAATTAACCATCAGTGTATTAAAAACTAATGAAATGTCACAAATTATTCTATTTTTAATAGGTACGTTGAATGTGCCAAGAAAGTACAGGTGCCATGTCGATGTTTTGTCTTTACAACTACCATTGAACACTGCAGGCATAATGAAAAGGTAGATAACTGGCGTCAGAATTTAAATTTGGTAGAGAGAAAGACAATAAATATATCTATTTTTGAAATCATATTGGCAAAAATTTTACAAATGAGTGTTTTATTTCTCAACAGTTTCGACAGATAACTGATGAATCTCATGCCAAAATAAATGAAATGATCTTCAATAAAGTCAAGTAAGAATTTTTAGCTGGCTGTTGATTTTATGCTATGTTAAACATAAGTCTACTGTTAGTTGATGTTTTTTGTTGTTGTTTTTTTCTTTTTTGTGGGTTTAAATAATTTAAATAACAAAGTTTACTGAATTTTAAAAATTTGAGTTTTCCTGAATTGTAAAGTATTTTTATTTTAAATACTAATTATTAACTTCACTTTTGTTTCTGGCGGGCTGGAAAAATCTTCACTATGCTAATTGACCCACTTCCTGTCTATCTATCGAGCTGAAACTTTGCACCTAGACTTGTTGCAATGACAAAACAGTCTTTCAAATATTCAGCCCCACATCCCGACCCCAACAATCAGTTTTTCATGTTTTTCAACGGAAAGATGCAGGAAATATGATGAGACTGAAATAAAATTCCAGATAAATGCCCTATATGAGATTCCATAAAATAATATTGCAAGTGTGTTTGGTGTTTTTGTTTTTCTGAAATGATGAAATAAATTTGCAGTGTAAAAGCAGGTGGGTCATAAGAATATTAACATGGTTCAGGGCATGAAAAAAATGTGCAGTTGCTGGCCTTGGGGGGAGCACTAATTGGGATTCTTATGCATGTTTTGTGATATTTTCAGCTCCACCCCCCATTGCATTGCTTGATATTACATTTTATAAAGGGTTTATACGAACAAATTTGTGCTTAAACAACCCTTAAGCACAAATTTTTTCGTATAAGAAATCTGTGAAAAAAATAACAATTAAACAACCCTTAATTGTTATTTTTTTCACAGATTTCTTATTTTTTACTAGAACAAGATGAGTGTTTAACTGAAGAAGAAACAAACCTCATTTGATCTTATTTTCACCTTTGATGATATGTCCACAAACGTTCAGTAGAATTATGACTACATTTACAGCCCATATTAAGCATGCTGCACACATTTGTTATGACTGTCTATGGGGCAAAAAAAAGTCTTAATTTTTTTTTTCAGGTCGAAGTTTCAAGAGCCAAGTATGAGTGAAGGCTTCAGTGAAATTGTCCAAGTCAACTTTGTGCCGAAATTTTCTTCTTCTAGTTTAGAATCCAAGTACAGAAAATTTCTTTTGGAGAAATGATCGCCGTAAACAATTATTTTAAAAAATGGGAATAGATTTATGTCCACGCACTATGTTGTTCTACTCGTGAATAAATTAAGTTTTAAAATGGGGCTTGATTAAAATGTTTGGGAATTTTAATTCTTAAATAATTTGTATTCTGATTAAATTCATAGGACTTTGAAACCATATCCGTTATTATGAAGTACTGAGATAAAAAAGAAATTCTCTCTTGTAGGTATAGACATTCCCCAGCAGTTTGTATATATAGATAAAGTACAGCATGTATGTCGCAGAGTTATAAGTGCTGGATAGGGAAGCACTTTCATTGCCCTTCCCTCTGCCAGAACTGTTGGTCAGTTTGAGCTATATTCAAATGATTGGTCAGCAGCAGTTTACATTCTTTACATGCCACTTGCTATGTTTATACGCCACTTGCTTTGTTTATTATTTTACATTCATTTTTTAATTTACTTTATTAAAGGTAAGAAAAATTAAAGTCTAGTAAATAATTCAAAACTTTTACGTGCAAAGAATTATTTTTGTTGTTGCTAAGAGTAAGTTTAGGATGGAAATGTTTGGAAGGTCAGTCATTAAAATATGTTGTATAGAGAAATATGTTGTATAGAGTGATGGTTAACCATTTTTAATGTATCTGAGACTACTATGTCATAGTCATTAATCATATTATATATTTTCCTGTCATCTGTTATGTATTAATATGATAAATACATTTTTTATTGCTATAAAATCTCTTGAAACTTTAAACACACACAAACACCCCCCCCCCCTTCCCCCGCACACACTTTTTCTATTCTTTATCAATGGCATTGGGAAAAATCTAGTATTTCTTAGTACCATAAATTTCTGACTGATCAAATGTTCTAATCTAATAAATATGTATACCTGACTTGACTTTTCTGTTAACAACTCTGAATAGCTTATGAACATGGTATAAAACAATGCAAACATTCTCTCTGATATCGAACTACTTGTAATACTAACATATTGCACAGTTTTACAAATAAACTTAAAGAAAACATATTTGGTGATTTTTTAAAAAATAAATTACATTTTGTTGTTGTCTGCTGACTTAAGAAATGTGTTTTACTTGAAAGGATGGGCAATTATAAGACATCTTAGTTGGTTATGAATGAGTGGGTACCAGGACCTTGTCTTAATGTTAGCTCAACAAGAAGCAACAAGATAAATGAAGAGCTAAAGAAATGCTGGTATATTTGGTATAAACCTTTTCTCTATAGACGCTTGTATGTTTGGTCTCATCTTTGTAACCTTTTATTTAAACGTGCAATGCTACCCGTTTGAAATTTAAAAAAAATATATATTTATTATTGACCATACATTTACATGGCAACCTATTTTTCAATGAGTTCAATAGATGGTTTGGGCAAGTGATTCAGAAACAAAATCTTTAAAATAATCAACTATGCTACTTTGGAGCCTGGATAGAGATATTCACAAGTTATAGAGAAATATATTGATTACAATCTGATTTTATGGTGATAATATTTGTCTTTAAATGACTGAGCGGGGGTACAGAACAGAACTCCATTGTTGTTCAGGTAACTTTTAGGGCGGACAGAAATTGTTGTTACTTAAGGGAGGGCATTTTTAAGGGGATGAGGTTGATAGATTCTCACATCTTTGAGATAGAGGGGATTTTTTTTTTCTCCATAATATTAGGTTTCTGGTCTTCCAGAAGTCACATGATAATTTTGGGTTTAATGTAAGTTCCTAATTGAACTGAAATGAAGGGGCAGGGATGTGTTAATAGATACCACATAATGGAGGTAGAGAATGGTATATAAGATATAACTCTTTGGGACATGTGGGTGTGGAGAGAAAACACTTGAGAGAGATCAGGGGACTACAGTTGAACAGAGGAAAAGTTGAGACCATACAGTTTGAACAGTTTAGAAACAGTCATAGCTCTAGAGATACATGTACATAGTTGACAATGAGTGAGGACTAAAGAAGAGCTTTTTATCTTAGTAATAAACACATACTATTTCATCATCTGGACACCTGGGTTTGTATTTTTTGGATTACATTCAAGTCTATGTTGTGCTTCTGTCTGTCTCAATGCCTAGATACCCAAAATATAAATTGCAGAGAGGAGAGGTCCTGTACTGACAACTACTAAAGACTAAAGCCCTCCTTTGCAACAACCCTCCTTGACAATATTGCCATGCTTCTCATAAAAACAAAATAACAAACTAATTTATTTAGTTAAAACATTTATTCAATGTATAAATTTCAGTAAGAAAATTTGTATTAAAAACACCCTTATCAAAAGATCTTTTTTTTAAAAATGGAGAGAAAAAAATTCAACTAAACAAACCAAGCATTGTGGCCCTTTGATTAGCCCTTGCCCAAAGTTTGTTCAGATATGTTGATAATACTTCAAATTTAAGTACTGGTAAGGCACTAATAACAGCAGTTTGTAAACATTTTCTAAAACAACATGTGATATTAAGAAAAAATAAAAACATTTGAACATTCAAATACAATAAAAAGAATAAATCAAAAATGATTTGATCATTTGCCAAAAAAAAATTATTTTTTTTTACAAGCACTCTCATTTCCATTTAACATTCATTCCCACAGCTAATCAACTTATCATGTGATGCATTATAGATGTTCGAAACTGTTTTGAATAGTTATGATAATGTTGCAATGATCTAAAAGCACTCTGGCTAATTTTGAAACCTTAATGGACAGTATAGGTTTTTTTGGGGCAATATTTTTATCATCTAATAACAGGATGATGTAGTGGGTTTAACTAACAATCATTCAAGATAAAGAGACTGATTTCTTGACTTTCTTTAAATACTGCCATAAAACTTATGGCTTAAGAAAACTGGTAATCTTTATTTTATTCCTTCAACTTTTTACAACTTTTTAAGAACCATTTTTCATTGGAATTTTAACATATTTTAAACCTTTTTATACCCACACATAATGATAAATTTGAAATAAATCTATTAAGCATCAACTCCATCCAGTTCAACGTACAACTGTTCATCTCTAGCAGGCTCAACCCTTGATTTTGAAATGACCACATCATCGGTTGGTGCATCTGTAGAGTCAGTTGCTGTGTCCCCAATTTTCTTAACAATGTCAATCCCTGAAAGAACTTTACCAAAAACGGTGTGGTGGCCATCCAGCCAAGGGGTGGCTTTTAATGTGATGAAAAATTGGCAGCCGTTTGTGTCTTTACCTAAAGAATAAGAGGAATTTCGATCATTTATTATTCATTGTTCCTTAAATTGTTGTCTGCCACCAAAAACTATTACAGATATATAAAATACCCATTGAGTTTGAGACTTATCAAACTAAGATAAAATAAGATAAGATCCTTTTATTGACCCAAATAAAATAAAAAATTTATTACAATGTGCTTTGTCATTTTCAGCACATGGATGAATATTCTTACACAGAAAAACATTTTTAAAATAGAACAATTTAAAGCATCTAAACTATTTGTCATCAAGTGCAAAAATCTGATATCATTTGCTATGCTACCTTACAATCTTAAAATGACCATATTGAGTTTAAAAGTGATTTTTTAGATTTTGTAACTAATTAGGAAAACTCTTTTTGCATAATTAAATTATAAGTTTTGAAGAACAATTTAAAATATCAATATAAGTCTCTTTTGTAGAATTAAATTATTAGGTTTTGAAGCGCAATTCAAAATATTGATGTAAGTTAGGTTTATGTAAAACAAAAATTATGTTTTTGGGCATTGTACACATCATGGACAGTGTTATATGATTAGAAATATAAGTGCTACACACTGAAACCAGCTGTCTAATTTTTATAAAGTTAACAATCAAATTTGCTTTTTTATTTCAAGACGGAAATTTTATATTTGCTAATAATAATTAAATCACACTCAAACTTAAATCTTTGTCTCAGTAGGTGTTATGTTGTAACAATAACAATTTTTATTTTTTTTAAATAGTGGTAGTGCTAACTTCTTTACCTGCATTAGCCATACTGATCCAACCAGCTCCATAATGTTTAAGAGTGAAGTTCTCATCATCAAAGTATCCGCCCCAAATGCTTTTGAAGCCTGTACCATCCTTGTTGTTGTAATCGCCCCCTGATAGGGCAAACAAGCATTTATTTTTTTTTTTACATTTTTTGTTTAACCTGTAAAAAGCCAGGAAATCAACACACATATGATCTCATATTGCAGTTTTTTGTTAATATTTAAAACGAAAATAATACTTCTGATGAAGCTAAGTGTTTAAATTTTTGGTTGTGTGAGAAAAGAAATGGGACTGCAATGGATTTTTTAAAAAAAGTTTCTTGCTTCAAGATGCCAGTTTTCCAAAATAATCTCCATTAAAAAAAGTTTATTCTTGATTGTTTTTATAGATAGAGATTTTAAAATACATATGGTCTGGGCCATAATCAGATTTTAGAAATATTTTTTTCATCCAGATTGTTGCATCCTTGAGATAATATTATACAAGTAAATAATCCCTTTTTGTGAAGTAAATCTTGTAGGTTGTGTTAGTCTTTTTGTTTCAGACATTATAGTTCAGTACAAAAAAATTCAGGGTCAAATTTTTTTTATGAATGCTGAAATCCATATTCAAAAAAATATTTGTTTTTTTAAATCTTCAACTTTAAAGCTCACCTTGAATCATGAAGTCATTAATGACTCTGTGGAATCTACTGCCTTCATAACCGTAGCCATTGGCATGAGATGCCAACTCAACAAAATTTCTAACTGTCTTTGGGGCAACATCTCCAAACACACCGATAACAACTGTACCAAGGGGCTCATCTCCAATACTGATGTCAAAGAAGACTTTGTCTGTAACTAGAGGCTGGAAGTGGAAGACACACAAAGGGACAGAAGCTATTTTAAAATTTGAAATTGTTACTGAATTTTTTAAAAAGTGGGGATCATCCATAAAGATAAATTAAAGAATTTAAATTAATTAGCATCTTTTCTGTGTATTTAGACAAGTTTAAAAATTAGGACATGTAGTTTTCACATCTAGCCTTGAAAACTCAATTGTCAATAGGGATTATCATGCAAAATAATCTTAATAAAGAAAACCGTAAAGTTTAAACTTTAAAAAAAAAAAATGCATAACATTGCGTTTAAAAAACTTCCCATCCACAATTCAATTATATTTTCTCCCCTCGCTTTTCAAAGCAAACAAAAAAAAAATGAACAAGAGTAAATAAAATTCCTTTATTTATAAGAGATGTTGGGTGTTTCATCTTTAAATAAGTTAAAAATAGATGCAACCATGAGGGGAAGTAACTGCAACAGGGATTATCCTTGGTATGCCTATGTAAAACAGAGTAGTAGTACCTGGTCAATGCCCTGTTCCTTTCTCCCCCCCCCCCAACCCCACCCCCACCCTGACTCCTGCCAGCTATGTAGGTCAGTGACGTGGCAGCCCAAACATTGCAGCTCATGGTGAAAATCGACCACTACCAGCATATTCACATTTCTTTCGTTTTTTAAACAAAAGAAACAAAACGTGATTGTCTGCTCTATGGAGAAAGATAACAAGCATTGCTTGTATAGCATTTACTATAATTTTTTTTATTCCCTTTACTTATTGTTTGTGCTTCGTGTGTGTATTATTATTATTTTTTTTGGAAAGGGGGGCAGGGCGCTGTATTTACACGTGTGTGTGTGGCTCTATATATACGTCGAATGAATTTACGTAAAATATGCCTAATGCCTAATAGTTAACATAATTTGATCTTGTCTTAAATTGAGCTTTTGGTTTCCTCTAACGCTTAATGCGGCTTCTCTTTTAATTTACCCTTTGGCCCTGGTGTTTTGAATTACATTTTTTACAAAATTGATTTTAAACTTTTTTTTTTTTTTGGGGGGGGGGGGGGGGTAAGTTTTTTGAGTTTATTTTTTTTTTTTTTTTTTTTTTTCTTTTTGATTTTTTTTTTTTATTTTTATTTTTTATAAATTTTTTTTTTTTTTTTTTTTTTTTTTTGGGGGGGGGGAGGGGGTAATGTTTTTAAGTATATTTTGACTGTATTGAGCCACCTTAGGCCAGGACCAGCCTTTGGGCTTAGGCATCTGCAACCTCCTGGCCTTTTCCTTGAATTGTTACAGTCCCCTAACATTTAAAAAAAATATGACGGCCGTTACCCGGTAGAAATAAGACTTTGTTAGGCCTACTCTGCCCCGTGTAACGCGACTGCTAATTTTGATAATTTTATTTTTTTTAAATCATAAAACACAAGTATTATGATATTAAATCATCTATGCTATTAATGAAGCTTAATTTTTTTGTTTAAAAAAAGCTTTGAAAATAAATGTCCATGTCATTAGAATGCTCTCGTGGCACTGGAAACAATAAACTGCAATGATAATGATGGTGGCCGGGTATTTTGGTACTCCCTATGTACGCGTGGGATACCTTACGTTTGTCCAAGAATCACCCTTAGTCCTTTTATTTACAACATAACAGTAACAGTTAAGTAACGTACCTTATCTCCAGCATAGACGCACATCACACCAAGTGCCAGGCATATGAGGTTCAGGGAATTCATCTTTGTTGGAAAATGTGTGTGAAACTGCGGACTAAAATATCTAATCTTTCTGTCAAGGTAGCTGATGCCACTGCTTCTGGTAGAGCTGAGAATGGTCGAATGCGAGGAGGCACCCGGGCTTTTTGTGGAAACGTAGAATCTGTACTCGTGGCAGCCTCGATGTGAGCCTATCTTTTACCCCTCGTGAGCCGCCTGCTCATACATTCAACCCACAGACTCGGGACACGTCTGCTAACTTCATGCGCTGCTATAATGTTCGTTTTCTCCCCCAAGTTACTGAGCCTGGATGTGACCTACCGTCCCACGCCAACAACGAACCGCCCCGTTAAGCCCCCCCCCCCTCCCAACGTGACCGACACTGTAGTCAGTACAGAAATACTGTGAATTGTGAGTGAGATGCGTTTACAGTTGGGTGTGTCCATTGAATCTTAATATTAATCAAAAGGCTGAAAAGGTGTATCAAAAGATACATACAATAGTGCTGCATATGGTACTTGAAATATCGTGTCAAAAGGTATAATGAAAGGTAGAGACAAAAGTATTGTTAAAACTTGAATACAAAATTGTTGAGCACAATTATCAAAAGGTGTATCATGCGGTCAAGGTATATCATACAAGGTTTATCAAGGGTTGAAACAGGGGGGGGGGGGGGAAAGGGAAAAAAGGAAATCCCCCAAAACCCCCCCCTCCCCCCCCCCATTTCAAAAAAAANTGGACTGGATCCCTGCTTAATAATGTTTGATCACAATGTAAATAAAAGGGTGCATGTGTATCATGCCTACTAATGTATCTGACGTTTAACAGGTACACATGATTATACTTATCATTTCATCTTCTTTAATTGTGCATACGCGGGACAAGATCCCCCCCCCCTCCGGCACGCACACACGAAAAACCTCTGTGGTTGGCCGAAAAAACAGACCATCAATAATTAGAACAAATGCCACCCGGGGCGCACCGCCCCCTTCGCATCCCTTGATACGCCAGTGTCTATAGCTGTTAAGGCCTTTAGGCGCCAATGCCCCAGGGGTGCCAAGAAGAGTTGGGAATCAAACCCTCTTGTCGACGTTCAAGTTCGGTTCAGCACCAACCAAACCTTAGGTTCAGCACCAACTAAATCTTGGGTTCTGTCCAACACCAACTACACCTTGGGTTTAGCACTAACTAAACCTTGGGTTCTGTCCAACACCAACTTCACCTTGGGTTTAGCACTAACTAAACCTTGGGTTTTGTCCAACACCAACTACACCTTAGGTTCAGCACTAACTAAACCTTGGGTTCTGTCCAACACCAACCAAACCTTAGGTTTAGCACTAACTAAACCTTGGGTTCTGTCCAACACCAACCAAACCTTAGGTTCAGCACTAACTAAACCTTGGGTTCTGTCCAACACCAACCAAACCTTAGGTTCAGCACTAACTAAACCTTGGGTTAGGTTCAGCAACCACTGCAGTTCGCCGCGTTCGTGAATTTGGAATTAATTTGGTTTCAATTAATATAAATTAAATATATATTGGATTTATTATAAAGTTACGGGGTTTTACCGCCCCTTCCACGATAAAACTCCTGCAATTGGCCCACAATGCCGCCTCCTGTAAAAGGGACGAGTGGTGCCGCCAGGAGGGTCACTTCCCCTCAGTACCCTCCATCCTCCTACGCCACTGCTTGTAGGATCATCATTCCACTTGCAGCTCACTGCCCCCCCCCCTCTCTACCCACGCACATCTCGCACCGCCTAGGTGTTGTCAACTGTAAACAATTTTTTTTTAAAAAAATGATAAACAAATAGGCCTACCTTTACCGTCTAATTTTGTTGGTTTTGATTATTTTGAACGGGTTTCTGGCACTGGATGAAACAAGATTCGACCACACACGGTGTTGTTTAGTTTGTCACACATTATAATTAATACAAAATCAAACCTAGGCGTGAGAGGGTGTTGGTCCGGGGTGGGGTTGGGTAGTGCATGATTTTTTAAAAAATTGGCAATTGGAATTCTGGTTATTAGCATGTCTGGCTTAACACTGAAGCAGTGATGTGCCCCATTCGTTAGACGGTGTCGGTTGTAGGCATGGGCGCCCGCAGAAAACTTTCTGGGGGGGGGGGGCAGGAAATAAATTCGATTAACTTTCCACGGGGGGGGGGGGGGGTTTGATTTTTTAGTAATGTTTTAATATAGTTTTAATTTACTGTAGCGTATTTGTATGGTGAACGAACGGACAGGACATCAGCTTAGTTACTTTCTCTTTATTTTCTTTTTACTTTAATACATTTTTTGTCTATTTTTGTCTAAAATTTTTTTTATTTAATCAATCCAGGGGGGGGGGCAAGTGCCCCCCATTGCCCCTACCTGCGGGCGCCCATGGTTGCAGTTGTAATAAGTTTGTGATAGAACGTTCGGGTCGGTTCGTACCGAGTGACAATGAAGATCGGGTTCGGTGGGTTCAGTCCGGCTCAATACCCATCTCTATTGCCATGATTCCAATCATGCCGTTATAAATTATCCATTGTATTTGTATATCGACTCTATAGTTATTTTTTTCCTTCCCAATCTGGACTCGACAATGCAAACACCTCCTACAAGTAGGCCTACACTGACTGGAACAGTATCAAAAATAAAGAGTCACCATCTATTATTATTATTATTTTTTTGTTGTTGTTGTTGTTAGAGAGGGACTCGCATCATCAACGTGAAGTATGGAAATCACGTCCCGCTAAAACATAAGAGGTGGAATTTAGGTTAGTTTGTAAAAGCAAACGCCTAAGGCCTTCTTGACACTAGGCTCGGTGTCGTGTTGGCTATCCTCATCTGAGCACTCGTCCCTCTATCCCTCAAGACAAACCAAAGCTTTCTTTGCGCACGCATCAGACGTGGACACCGCTTGTACTAAGTACTGCCACTCAACGTTGCGTGGCTTACCAGGGAAGGTGGGTGGGGAGGATGGGATGGGTCAGCGGGTTCAGATCTTTGCGGCGCTGAGAGGGATGGATCCAGGACATAAACGGACCTCCCCCCCCCCACCCACACTTTTTTAACCCGCAATGTTCAAACTAATCTTCGGTCGATTTGAACACATTAAACGTAAGGCAAATTTAATAGTTACAGAAAAAATACGAGTGTTCTTAGTGTGGTTATTTTTGCATTTGTTGGAAATTCTATGGTAAGGCCTCCGAATAATACGTTTGTTAAAATTTCTGTAGTTACTCCCTCTCTATGATACAGTCATAGTTCAAGCCTTGGCTTGTATTTGGTTGGTCACTGGTACAGTCATAGTTCAAGCCTTGGCTTGTATTTGGTTGGTCTCTGGTACAGTCATAGTTCAAACCTTGGCTTGTATTTGGTTGGTCTCTGGTACAGTCATAGTTCAAACCTTGGCTTGTATTTGGTTGGTCTCTGGTACAGTCATAGTTCAAGCCTTGGCTTGTATTTGGTTGGTCTCTGGTACAGTCATAGTTCAAGCCTTGGCTTGTATTTGGTTGGTCTCTGGTACAGTCATAGTTCAAGCCTTGGCTTGTATTTGGTTGGTCTCTGGTACAGTCATAGTTCAAGCCTTGGCTTGTATTTGGTTGGTCTCTGGTACAGTTACAGTTCAAACATTGGCTTGTATTTGGTTCGTCTATGGTACAGTCATAGTTCAAAACTTGGCTTGTATTTGGTTGGTCTCTGGTACAGTTACAGTTCAAATCTTGGCTTGTACTTGTATTTGGTTGGTCTCTGGTACAGTCATAGTTCAAACCTTGGCTTGTATTTGGTTGGTCTCTGGTACAGTCATAGTTCAAACATTGGCTTGTATTTGGTTGGTCTCTGGTACAGTCATAGTTCAAACATTGACTTGTATTTGGTTGGTCTCTGGTACAGTTACAGTTCAAATCTTGGCTTGTACTTGTATTTGGTTGGTCTCTGGTACAGTCATAGTTCAAAACTTGGCTTGTATTTGGTTGGTCTCTGGTACAGTTACAGTTCAAATCTTGGCTTGTACTTGTATTTGGTTGGTCTCTGGTACAGTCATAGTTCAAGCCTTGGCTTGTATTTGGTTGGTCTCTGGTACAGTCATAGTTCAAGCCTTGGCTTGTATTTGGTTGGTCTCTGGTACAGTCATAGTTCAAATCTTGGCTTGTACTTGTATTTGGTTGGTCTCTGGTACAGTCATAGTTCAAGCCTTGGCTTGTATTTGGTTGGTCTCTGATACAGTCATAGTTCAAGCCTTGGCTTGTATTTGGTTGGTCTCTGGTACAGTCATAGTTCAAGCCTTGGCTTGTATTTGGTTGGTCTCTGGTACAGTCATAGTTCAAGCCTTGGCTTGTATTTGGTTGGTCTCTGGTACAGTCATAGTTCAAGCCTTGGCTTGTATTTGGTTGGTCTCTGGTACAGTCATAGTTCAAGCCTTGGCTTGTATTTGGTTGGTCTCTGGTACAGTTACAGTTCAAACATTGGCTTGTATTTGGTTCGTCTATGGTACAGTCATAGTTCAAAACTTGGCTTGTATTTGGTTGGTCTCTGGTACAGTTACAGTTCAAATCTTGGCTTGTACTTGTATTTGGTTGGTCTCTGGTACAGTCATAGTTCAAACCTTGGCTTGTATTTGGTTGGTCTCTGGTACAGTCATAGTTCAAACATTGGCTTGTATTTGGTTGGTCTCTGGTACAGTCATAGTTCAAACATTGACTTGTATTTGGTTGGTCTCTGGTACAGTTACAGTTCAAATCTTGGCTTGTACTTGTATTTGGTTGGTCTCTGGTACAGTCATAGTTCAAAACTTGGCTTGTATTTGGTTGGTCTCTGGTACAGTTACAGTTCAAATCTTGGCTTGTACTTGTATTTGGTTGGTCTCTGGTACAGTCATAGTTCAAAACTTGGCTTGTATTTGGTTGGTCTCTGGTACAGTTACAGTTCAAATCTTGGCTTGCATTTGGTTGGTCTCTGGTACAGTCATAGTTCAAACATTGGCTTCTATTTGGTTGGTCTCTGGTACAGTCATAGTTCAAATCTTGGCTTGTATTTGGTTGGTCACATGTACTGTCATAGTTCAAATCTTGGCTTTTATTTGGTTGGTCACTGGTACAGTCATAGTTCATCCCTTTGCTTGTATTTGGTTGGTCACTGGTACAGTCATAGTTCAAATCTTGGCTTGTATTTGGTTGGTCACATGTACTGTCATAGTTCAAATCTTGGCTTTTATTTGGTTGGTCACTGGTACAGTCATAGTTCATCCCTTTGCTTGTATTTGGTTGGTCACTGGTATAGTCATAGTTCAAACCTTGGCTTGTATTTGGTTGGTCTCTGGTACAGTCAGAGTTCAAACCTTGGCTTGTATTTGGTTGGTCTCTGGTACAGTCAGAGTTCAAACCTTGGCTTGTATTTGGTTGGTCTCTGGTAAAACTAGTTATGATTCGCCAACGCTGGTATTTTTTGTCTGTAAACTTTAAATTAGACAGGGCATGATATATCTCTGACCTACAAGGTCAGATTAAGATCTTTGGGGGCAATATCGGGGCACCAGCCAGTTTATATAGGGGCACAATAAGAACTCTGTATGATTCTATCGCGTCTGTGGATTCAACATGCCTTGCCCATCTGTACGGTGCCCTGGGAGTAATAGTGGCCCTGCTGACTGACCACTTAGTTAATACAATGGTACTTTGGTCTAAATGTTTAACAGTAAATTCTATCGCAGTTTCCCAAATGTATTTGAGCCCCCCACCATGTCATGAATCAACTGATTGCTTAGCATTCTTGCATCCCCCATATGAGTTGTGTCTCCTGTGTGTATTGTGTCCCCTAAAGTCCTGAAAGGAACACACAATGTCGAATAGTAGGTGTCTAGTAGATGTCGCTAAAGTCCGAACACACTGCAAAAACTTAAGTTTTCAGTTTATTTTCCAAGATTTTATTTCATTATATCTTCAGTATGATATCTTCAGTATGATATCTTCAGTATGATATCTTCAGTATGATATCTTCAGTATGATATCTTCAGTATGATATCTTCAGTATGATATCCACCATTTGTGAGGCATTGGAGGTGATGCAAAATTCTATATGGTTTGGAAAAATTCACATGAACAAGATGCTGTAACGCCACACTTCTGTCACATTCATATTTTTTCCAGACTTTAGGGACACACTGTATAATGTCATTTTGTCTTAATTAGACAAATACACACGACATATTGCACGCAAAAACCTGAGCTTATACATTTTTATTCTGGGTATCAATAAAGCCATTTTCAGAGTTCAATTTTCAAAGTTCATATATTAAATAACAACACACTCATAAGATGTAAAACTGTTAAACACGGAGGGCATTGCTTCTGTGGCTAACTTTGTGCATCGCGTTTCACCCCCCCCCCCCCCCCATTGCAAATCATAAAAAGAAACATTGTTGACAAAGAGGAGAAGGGTCAAAACACAGTGACGGCGCATTGTGAATATGGAATTCATGGTGAAGTTTGTTTGCTATCAAATGGAATTTTATTATGCACTGGAAACATGTTGCACAGATTGAAAGGCATGGGGGCATAAAATATTTTGTCAACTCCGCAATCGAATCTCGATCCAGCCCCCAAAAATATGGCATCGGTGACAGGACACTGTGCTGGAGAAACTATGATAAAGACAATCTTAGAAATCATTATTCTATCAATTCTTGGGGTCATTCCCACCCCCCTTTCCTATTTCCCTCTCTACGGCATCCAAAGTTCAAATGAATATAAACTGTTCAGAATACTGTTTAAATTAAATAAAATAAATAATACCGGTCGGCAATCCAAGAGATTTTTCCTGAAAGTTTATGTTAATAAAGACTGGGCTTCTTTTAAAGACTTTTGTAATTTGGCCAAGAGACGATCTTTCTCTTGATTTGTGTTTTTGAGGTGCTCTATTTCCTTTTCTTGGCGCAGAACTGTTTGTTGAAGACGTTTTATTTGCTGGAAATGAGAAAAAAATTGTAAAATATTTGCTAAAAACCAAATGCTAACCTAAGACATTACTTTTGCTGATTTTTGCAATGCCACTAAAACCAACAGTTAACAAAAAAAAAAAAAAAAAAAAAAATTTTTTAGAGCAAAATTAAAAAAAAATTTTTTTAAAAAAATTAAAAAAATTTNAAAAAAAAAAAAAATTTTAAAATATTTTATAAAAACAAAAATCTAAACTAAGAAATTACTTTTGCTAATTTTTGCAATGCCACAAAAACCAAAAATTAAAAAAAAAAAAAAAAAAAAAAAAAAATTTTTTAGAGCACAATTCAATAAAAATGTTTTTAAAAAAATTAAAAGTATTGTGTTAACGCACCTGTTCTTGTGATAAAAACAGCTGGCTGTTGAGCAAATCTTGGGCAGAAGGTCTTTCAGAAGGGACAGAACTTACTAATGCTTTAATGGAATCGGCCTGCAGTAGAAACATTGTTGTCATAAGAACGGCCGTGGCAATGCTATGCTGGCAGTGTAAAAAAAATGGCATGCTGGGTAACTGTCTCACTTTGATCATACAGTCACAAAAGTCATAACTTATACCGATACAAAAAATGTGTTCTTCTATCATGTGTTATTGAGGCATCAGTTTGTTCTTGTTTCGCCTCCCAGGTCTGCAGCTTGATTTATGGACCTATGATGTTTTGAATGAATACATAGCCAAATGTAATTATAGTTAGAGCATTCATGGAATGAGGGTATAGAAAAAGGTGCATTGTGTTCTGTTCACTCACAAACCTGTAACGGCCACTTCTGTGTGAAGGCTTCGGGGCAGTGGTTTACTTTCCTGAGTTTTTCTAATTCTCTCAACCTTTCCATATCTGTATGAAATACGTTGAACATTTCAAAGAGAATCACACCTAAACTATACATATCACTCTGAAAAAAAAAAAATAAAAAAAAAAAAAAAAATAATAAAAAAAAAAAAAAAAACCAAAAAAAAAAAAAAAAAATGTTTACTTTCCTTAGTTTTTCTAATTCTCTCAACCTTTCCATATCTGTATGAAATACGTTGAACATTTCAAAGAAAATCACACCTAAACTATACATATCACTCTGAAAAAAAAAAAATGAAAAAAAAAAAAATACTGATTAGTATGAACAGTTAACCCCAAAAAGATGTGACTGAAGGTCTGAAATTTAGCAACAATTGCTTTTTCAAAATTATCTTAAATTTTTTTCCCCCAATTTTTAAAAAGATTATGCTGGTCCAGAAACAAAAGATGAGCCAATCATTAAAATATTGAGTTAGGGTAATATGATATCAATGCAGCAATTCAAATATAACAAAAGTTTCATTAACTTTCATGAACTAAGGGCATCATGCATGTAAACACATATTTTATCAGTGAGGTCGACATTTTTTTAAGATAAATAAGATTTTATAGGTCACTTTGAACAACATTCATTTACTGGATGAAATACTGACCTTGACATCATAAAACGAGCCCTTGAGTTGTTCAGGTGATGCATATGACAAAGTTCCAACTCCAGTTGTATGGTTATCATACAGAAATGCTGAGACTGTCATTAAAGAGATAAAGAGTTAAAATCTGTACATGTTCACAGATTTGATGAGCATTTAAATTATTGTCCATAACCTGTTGCATTAAGGCCTAATCTCATCATAAACAACAGGTGATTGTCAAACGTTGCCTAATAAAGTTAATTCTTCTTATGAAGGAGTTACAAAGAGCCTATTTATAAACTGAGTGTCAAGTTCTTGTTTTGTTGAAGTTTGGTGTTGTGCACTTGATTTTATGCTATTCTTATGCTACTAAAACGGTTCGTTGTTGACAGTAGATCAAGGCTAATGGAGTTTGCCTTTCTCTATCACTTCATACAGACAGCAAGTACACTGACTGTTAGTGTCCATGAATTTAATGAACAAATTTGAAATGTAATTGAAAGTGATGTTAATAATGAATTAGTTCAACAAATTGATATCCCAGATGGGTCAGAAGATGAATTCAATGAAGATGATGTTAACACATCTGTCTGGTCTGACAAATGACAATGGTGTTCAATGAAATGCCATTGAAGAATTTGTAGGTGTAACTGGTCCTGATACAGACTGATTTTAATTAAAATTTTATATTTTTCTCTACAATTATCAGTACTTTTTGTTTTTAATGACTGAATAGTGGATGAAAGGACGATTTTTAATAAATTTTTAAGGTCAGCAACTTTATGAACAAAATGAAGTTATTTCCCTTTGCTTAGTACTGAAGGTAATTTATTAATGGATGCTTCTGTACTGAAAGGTTTATAGGGGTATACAGTAGTCAATTTAATTTTGTAATATAATTTGTTAAGACACTGTAAAGCTTGCTCTGACATCATTGTAACTTAGTGGGTTATGTCAGTAGCATGGTCACTTGTTTTATGTTAATAATTCAGGATGACGGCTAAGACTTCTTCGTTCTTCCACTTATTATCCAGGCACGCAAATAAGAATACTGAATCCTGGTTAAACTTACAGTACTTTATTTAATCACACTGTACACTGATAATATTAACAATAATCCTTGCATGAATGTTATCATTTCACATATATATATATATAATATTCCATCACTCAGAAAGACACGTCCTCACACTGCTATAACTCAACTCTCTTCTAACTCTGACTCTACTGCTCTCAATCAACTGCCCCTTTTATTACCAGCAAAGCGTGGGAACGACCGCTTTGACAAAAACATAATTTACTCTCCAAAAACGTGGAGCTCACATTTGCTTCTCAAAAAATAGAAATACACTCTCCTCGTGGAAAAATGCAATTCACTGTTCACTCATGCTACCTCTCTGTTTTCTTGTGACAACATAGTCCGTTACAGACACTTATCACAGTTTTTTAACTAAGAGAAATGAAAAGGACTGAATAGTTCCAACTACCTTCATCTGTTGGCGATGGTTTGAGAACAATTTCTTCTCTGCCTTGACTCAACATGTCTTCTTTGGCTAGTCCGAAATCTCCAATTTTGACATGAAGGTCGTTGCCTGATAGGAAAATGTTTCTGGGCTGAGAGGAATGATCAAATATAAATTTGATTCTTATGAAATACAGAATTGGCTGATGGGCATGACCAAATATATAATTGATTTTATGAATTGAAGAAAATTACAAAACATTCCTAAATAGTTCCTGAAATTGTTTAAATAATTACATAGAAAACAATTGCCATGTTAAATTACTGTATGGATCACAACCACTGATGACACTGTCACAACCACTGATGACACAGTCACAACCACTTATGACACTGTCACAACCACTTATGACACTGTCACAACCACTGATCCCAAAATGGTAGCAAAGTTTTTCCACCATTGCCACCGATTGTTAACTTGAAACAATGCATAAAACTAAAAATCTATTGACGAAGATCTTGGATGGAGGTTAATCAATCTTCTTTGTTCATTAAAAAAAATCATATAACCTATATACTATATTCTATTGCATGGTTAACTCCTTTAAAATTTAAGGTATAATTGAGCACTGGATTTTGTTACAGCAGTAAACTAAGTGCTCAAGTGTTCAGTTTATTAATTCATCAATACATTTTGATTTGGCTAATCTAGTGTAGACCAACCTTGAGATCTCTGTGAATGAGGCCATGTGAATGAATGAAGTTGACACCCAGTAACAGTTGGTGGAAGATCCGCATATTGTCTGAGCAGAATAATGTGGCATCTGAAAATAGGTATTCAACACATTAAAAATATATTAATTTAATAAAGAAAAAAAAATATACATTGGTTTTTGTTCTAACAGAACGTCCTTTGGTTAAGTGGGTCAAAAAAAAAAAATCTCTTAAGAATATAGACTTGTGAGACGATGGATAATTCAGACTATGTTGGATTTTTTCAACACTAAATTGATACTTTGGGACAGCTAAGAGAACTGAATCTTTTACAATCAAATGGGGATCACTGGGCCTGCTTTTTTTTTGTTTTGGACTAAATTTTTTTTATCCCTAATACGGCCTAATAGAGGGAAATGCCTGTATAAATGAGTTAATCAGCATTCATACAGTGGTCTTCAGACAAGGTACTCACCACAGCATACTAGGTACTCACCATAGCATACAATGTACTCACCACAGCATACAAGGTACTCACCATAGCTATCACCTTGCTGAGAGTTTCTATCATAAAGCCACTCTTGTAAGGTTGTAGAGCAAAGCTCCATTTGAATGTACAAAGTGATGGAGTTCTGATATCAATACGTTCATTATATTAATGGAAGGTTTGCATTTTAAACACAAGTACATGTAGCATGTTGGCTAAATAAAAATGTAACAATAGAAGTTAAATAAGTTTGTTCAATTATAAAAACACTTTTATTTACAAAAGTGACACTCGTTATTAAAGATTTAGTCCCACTTCAACATGCCCACCCCCACATTCCAAAAACCTTTTCAAACAAGAGAAATTAAATTTTTAAAATTTCCATCAAACTGCGAGGGGAAAAAATCAACCTACCTGAAAATCATAATTGTGGTTTCTTGATTCCATCACCTCGTCCATGTTGTTGGCAGCCCCAGAGCTTATGCTGCGTTTGTAAGCTGGGAGCTCATCCTCCTGTGGACCTTTTCTGCTGGGCAGTGCAGGTGTATCAATGTCGACGGAGTAAACACCATCTTTTTCTGACACACGTGAGACCCTTGGGGCTGGATGCTCCATACTTCGGGACTGGCGAGTCGTCCTTCTATTGGGAGGTAATCCAGAGTTTCCAGAGTAGGACATTTCTTCCTCGACCACCAAGGAAACATTGCTGAATATGACAGAAGATGACGGCGGCGAGCTCGGGGGAGCTTGAGATTCAGAGTAAAAAGAAAGTTTGTCATCATGGCATGCTTCATCGGGGTCATTGTCTATGTCATCTGAGAAGGGAGGACTGTGAAAAAACTTACTGTGTTTGAACTGAGATCTCGATGGAGATGGTTTTGCGGAAGATGATTTTGATGGAGATGATTTTGCTGTGCTATGGTGGATAGCTTCTTGTGGCTCTCTCAATGGAGACCATTTTTTTGAATCCACGACAGAATCGCCACCGGTTTCTTTCACAGGGGAATTGTTCTTCAATGACCCTGCAACTCTTGTCATTTTATTTACAGAGATCTCACTGGAATGTCCATGATGATGAGGTGAAACTTGATTTATTTTGTCATTGTAAGCTTCTGTATTCATTGCCAGACAGTCAAAACTGTGGTCATTGGAAATATCCAAGTCAATTTCAAAATGCTGCCCACATTTGACCACCACTTTTTCTTGTCCCTGAGATTCACAATTATTGTCTGAATAGTTGAAGCTGAAGGAAGATGAAATCTCCTCTTCAATAACCACATGCTTATGTCTTTCTTTCTTTGGTCTGGGAGAACCATGTGTCAGCCCACGCGAGTTGGCAAGTTTTGGAGAGGAATCTGTGAATTTACCCGCGTCCCCTCTTCCTCCGTTAAGTAGCACATTTTCACTCCTTCCGAAGACCTCCTCAACCTTAACCTGACTAAAATATTTTGCGTTCATGGCCAGACCATTTCCGCCCAAGTTTGGGCTCGGCACAGGTTTATTCTCCTCATCGTCTGACAAACAAAACTGGATGCTCAAACTTGTACTACGTTCTTGTCTGTCGTACACCTTGCTGAGGAAAGCAGAAGTAAATAATTAACATTTAGTCTTGCTAATAGAAAGATTATTTTTAACTGATGCCACAAAGTACAGCTGCACCTTATTTTAAGCTAGTTTTCAATGAAAATATAGAACTACATGAGTGTTAAAAAAATATGGATATAGTTGTAACAATTTACTTTTGCTAATTTAGAATCAAAATATATAAAATGAAACTACCATTAACACAAAGTGTTGATTTGTTTCATCAAGGGTTAATTTTTGTGTGTGCAAAAGTTAAGTTAACACAATAAAATAATAGTTTCTAGACATCATGACTAGTAAAAGTTAACTATCAACAAAAAGATAAAGCAAGGAATGAGAGAACATGATGTGGATTTTTAAGAATGGGATTTTCCACCAAGTTTCGCAAACCCCCCCCCCCCAACTTTACACCTAGAATTACCTTTCTGTTGCTTCATTTGAACTGTCTTGTGCAAGAGGAGATTCATTTGAGAAGTTTTCTAGAAAATTCAGATGGATGGATTTTCCCCCAAGTTTCGCAAACCCCCCCCCCCCCCCCAACTTTACACCTAGAATTACCTTTCTGTTGCTTCATTTGAACTGTCTTGTGCAAGAGGAGATTCATTTGAGAAGTTTTCTAGAAAATTCAGATGGATATTGTGAAAATTTTTAAACCAACAAATTCAGATGAGATACAAATGTAACACATTTGAAATGAAAAAAAAATTAAGAGGTAAAACTGAAAATTCTTCACATAATTTACACACAAAAACATATACACAGCCAACAGATTTAACAACTGAAGTATGTACATTCATGTTTCCTAAAGCCTGTATATTGACCTAGGTTTATTCACCACAAGCTGCTGCATTCAACCTTACCTCTCCTCCCATCTGTTTTTTTATTGACCCACCAATTAAATGTCTAGTGCCAATTATTTTTACCTACCCTTCCCCTGATAGGGACAATGTTAACGTTGGAATTAGTCTCTAATTTGTTCTAAAGAATGTAATCAAGTGATCGAATTTCTGGGGAGATTATTTTTCCTAGTCTTTTACAAGATGTAATATACTTTAAAAAAAATTTACTCTTCATGTGCATGTGTATATATATATATATATTAATATTGGTATCCTTCAAGAATTTTACTTTTTTCCACCTGCTGTGCTTAAGTTGATATAGTTTTTATTTCTATTTGATTTTGTATTTATTATATAAATTTATTAATTATGATTAAAGTTAATATGGTTAATATATCTAGCTTTTCCATTGTTTTTCTTTGCATACTGGTTTTCAGTCCTTTGTTACATATTGTTCAACATACAAGTCAAATCCTAAAACAGTTTTAAATTTACAAAAACCATATAAACCTAGGATATATGTTACTATAACCATTAACTTATGAACCCAGGATAATATGTTCCTACAACCATTATCTTATCGACCCAGGATATATATGTTCCTAAAACCATTATCTTATGAACCCACTATATATATGTTCCTACAACCATTATCTTATGAACCCAGGATATATATGTTCCTACTACCATTATCTTATGAACCTAGGATATATATGTTCCTAAAAACATTATCTTATGAACCCATGATATAGATGTTCCTACAACCATTATCTTATGAACCCAGGATATATATGTTCCTACTACCATTATCTTATGAACCTAGGATATATATCTTCCTACAGCCATTATCTTATGAACCCAGGATATAAATGTTCCTACTACCATTATCATATGAACCCAGGATATATATGTTTTTATAACCATATATTTTTAAAACCAGGATGTATTAGTTCCAACAACCATCTTATGAATCCAGGATATATTGCTTCCTGCAACCCTTATATTATAAACTCAGGAAATGATTCTTCATACACTGCTCAGCATAAATTACTTAAGAATTCACCTTTCCTGGAACATAAAGGATTATCATACTCTAACCAAGCTGCATTGTAACCAACAATATTGGTGTGGTGAAGGTTTGCAAGGGCCTTTACTTCTCTAAGGAGCTGGAAAAATGAATATAGATAAAAATAACAAACCAAAGACTTCAAATATGCTTTTACTTTAAGTAATGAATATGATCTTTAGATATATGTGAATGTATGACAGCTAGTTGGGGGAACGGCCTATGATGACCGCTTGGTCTAGGAGGAATAAATGACAAAAGCACAAAATAAAATTTAAATTGTATAACCCACCTTTAACAACATGCCTGTATTTTTATGTTTGAACTTAATTTTCTTAACTGCATATTCACAGCCATCGAGGTAGTTTTTAGCCTGGGGAGACAAAAAGTAAATAAAAGTAAATAAAAATTACAGTATCTTAATGTCAAAATATGAGAGCAATATCTAAATATTATCAGGTGGCTAGGTGAGAAAAACATGTTTGTTATTTCTTGATGTATGGGAACTAAGTTTTTTTTTAATGTTTACTTAAAGTGTACAGTTTTGGACATAAGAAAATTATGATTAAGCTGACACTAATTGTTTGGAATATATAAATTTTAGAATATTTTTTAATACAGCATGTGCCAAAAGCAAGAGAACTAAAAAGGAAAGACAAAACAATGTTTCCTTTTTGTCATCTATAAATGTATTTCTCCTGAAAGAAACTAAGACATACACTATTAACATGTTCATTCACCACAGTGTGGGCAGCGTAAATGTACATAGTGTTCACCGCCTCGCTGTAGACAGTCTTCATATTGCTCCTGTAGATTTTCAAACATATCACTGGACAATTGTGCTGCAGTCTCCAGCAAAAGGAGACTATTTTCTAAAGTCAGGCAGGCAGAGTTCTTGGTGAATCTTCACAGTTGGACACACTCTCCTTTAAAAGCCATCAGGTGGTGTAAGATCAGATCAGGGGAGTGAGTATGGGAAGTCAGTACAATGTGAACTGATTTTCCGGGTTGCCCCATCCTGCCATTTTAATATCACTGTCTATACCAGTGAAGGTTCCTTGCATGAAAGAACTTTCTCAAATCCTGAAGAAATGATTTGATCTCCATGCCCCTGTGGCATCCATGTACACCAAGGGTACAATTGACAGCACAACCATGTTACGTGGTGGTGTCTTATTAAATCTCTCTCAGAATTTTTCTGTTACACTGTTCAAACTTGGGCCCACCTCACAACCAGTGCCATATGAGCAAAAATAGTGCTAAACTATGAGAAATTTTCCTCCATAGAGAGACCAATTTCAAATCAACTCCTCAACACACTACTGGAAACCTCAGGGATCACGTGGCAGCTGGAGCTATGCACCTTTGAAAAATGCATGTACGTGTTCAAGATGTGGCAGCTTCAGTACTGTTACTTTTGGTGCATACTGTATTATAATTGGAAAGCATTAAATGTTTTAAAAAAAATTTCTTACTTTAAAAACATAGCCAAAACCACCCTTCCCTAGCAGACTGACTTCTTGGAATTCAATTTTGTATCGAGAGGTATGCTCTGAGATGATGTCATCATCTCTTATGCTTAGTCTGTCAATACTAGAAATGTTGGAAAACAAAATTAAACTGAATCAAAAGATATGTTTGCTCAGCTTACTTCTATAAAAACAATTCCCCTTCATAATTATTATAGTTGGGCCTAAAGTATCAGAACTGACATGACACTGTTGTATCTTCAGAGCAGTTATCAGGGTTTGGAGATTGAGTAACTTGAACTTGTGGGGGCCATAGGCTGTGGCAAGTGCCAAAACATATCGGCAGAACCTTGGGGCTGGAGGAGCCGGGTATAAAATGAGCCTAAATCCCCAACAACTTTATAATTTTTTTCCCCATCTTTCAATACTTTCACGACTTTCATGTAAGAAAGTTAAAATTAATGTGGAAATCTGAGCTGGACAAAATGCATATCAGATACTCACTTCAAACTTTGGTCAAGAGGTGGCAGTGCTAAAAGAGATTGCTTTAAAGTAGGGAGGAAATAATATTAAAAAATTAATTAAAAAATTGATTTTCAAGTGTTATAGTTTTACTTAGTTCTATAGCCAACTTAAAACTGACATCAACCATTCAGAATCGAAATGTTTCTCCATCTAAATCTTCATAGTCATTACATTTCATGCATACTCAAACCATTATTCCCATCCTTCAAAATATCTATTGAGAATGGGTGTTGCTCCCCGCGCACAATCTATGATGTGATATAGAAATTAACACTAGTTCTGCAAACAGATACTTTTTTTTGTCCTTTTAAGTGTGAGTGGATATTTTTATTGTTTGGAAACCAAAAGAAAACTACTCCAAAGTGAGACAAACAACATTTTTTATTAGCTGCCTCTACTTGCCTTATCTAATGACTTCATGGCTGTCCTCACTATCTTATCTAGCATTGCTCTGTGTTGGAAGCGTAGGCTACTCATCTCATCTAGATGACTAAGGGGTGCAATGACATTTAGTCTACTCAGTCGCTCACACAAAACTGATTGAAGATGATTTAGAATGATACGTTAAAAAAATTGGTTTCATCAAATGAGATTTAACAATTTTAACGGACATAATGTAATTTTTAACATAAGACAAATATATTCTAGAAACTATTTTTACATTACTTTTATTTTTAACTTGGCTTCTGAAATGTAAAAAATAATGAAAAATCATAGCTCAAGCCTGCAGAAGATCTGAAAATAAGTGACAAGAAAATGTGGTAATCAGGTGCCTTTTTTTTTTGTACACGTCAAGAATAAAGTTAGTTTTTTAAATCAGTGACAGTTACTATAGTATCATAACCCCACCTCACACCCTCTTCTATATGAAAACATAAAATGCTTTGACATTACCAAGAGATACTATGAAAAACTTGTGTTAGATTGAAACATAACATAAGCTTACTTTTGAACAACTGGTTTGCTTTCGTTCGCTCCTTAACGTACATGTAGCACAATTGTTCCAATAATGAAGCCATTAGAAGATGAGGAGGTAGACTACTACCAGAGGCGAGAGCCAAAGCTTTGGATTCTTGTTGTTTTAATTCTATCATCTTTTTAATTGCTTGGTTGCTGTTCTGCTTGCTTAGGTCAGACGCTAAGTAAAAAGTAATAAATTGTGAAAATTTATCTGCAACATACAGGTGGTGGAGATTAATTACAAAATCAATAAAAAGTGAGTAAATAATGGTTGACTATTAGAAGACACTTACAATCCATTTGTCTGATAGGCTTTACACCTTCACGCAATTTAATGTCTGTGAATTTCTTTGTTGTAATTTTTGAGGATTTATTAGGTGATTCATCTTGATGTCTTGCCTCTGTTACTAACTGACTGTCACTTTGAGCTTTGAATGGTTGAGCCATAGTTTATCTATATTTTAAATAACATGGAAAATATCAATGAGGAAAAGTCTTATTGTAACTATGATTACTGGTCATCTCCAATATTTAATACAAGTACCACTACTAATGATAGAAGAAATACACCCTGCCTTGTGAAAATTATCCACAAGTTTTTTTAATGAAATAAAAATAAACCACTGGACAGATACTGAGGTTAAAATATTTTTTTACTTTATCTAAAATTTAATTCATAGTCACTCAGTCACATGAATCCAAAAAAGTTTACTTCAAAAATAGCTATATGACTATTGACCTAATTTAAATTATCTTTTTACTTTTGAATGAAGAACATAAAGCTTATATTTATACAGACAGGATGCTTATTAAACATTTTATATTCTGATCTTTATAAGTTTTTGGCTACTTTAAAATTTGAGCATATTTGGCATAGTCTGCATTATTTAAAAATGCCAGGAGAGAAGAATTTTGAATTGAGAGTATGATACTGTAGATGTATATACTGTAGTACATACATTTTTTTTAAATATTTTTTTTTGTGTAGTACATCTTTAGTATTTTTATGTATTGCACAAGGCAAGCACTCAGTATCAGTAATTAAAATTAATAAGTTATAAAAGTAATATTATGACAGTTTCTGAAAACTCAAGACAGTGGTAAAAGAGAAACGAAACTGTGTTACTGTTGGAGTTCTTAGTCAGTGAGTATCACTATCACACTCTCAGTCACTTGATTATTGATTAAGTCAGATTCAATCATCGTCGTATTGTGAACTATTGTCATTGTTGTGTGTCATCACCACCAGTGCAGGCTGGTGAGTTCAACTCAAAACTTAATCTGTCTATGGAGCGTTTTGCCCTAATAACCATATTTGAAAACATATTTTTATAACAGTTAAACTTAACCACAAAATATTTCCTGAACTGTAAGTTATGAAGATAGACAATGTTAAATGTACTGGAAGTCTCTGACTGTTGTAGTCATGCAAACTTTCTTTTGTCCTTTTGAAATCATTTTTTTTTAAAGATATCGATACCAATGTCATAGTTGAATATTAGTTTAAGCTTTTTAAAATATAATATTTTCGCTCTGTACAAGTACAAGTGTTGAATTCGTTTTCAGTGTTTTAACTACTTTTAAGTATTTCAGTATCTAAAAAATGTCCAAGTTCAACTACACTAAATACTTTCCATAGGAATTATGATTGATTCCCATAAATTTTAATTACATTAAATGAATTTAACTTTAAAGTAAATTGTAATTACCTTCATCAATAAATTTTAAATAACTTTAGTACTTTAGTTTAAAAGGCCCTATCAACTAGTAGCCTACGATTCACTTTGATAAAGTAATCGTTAAATATGCTTTTTGCCGACTTAAGTACAGACAAAAATTCAATATTGAATATAAAAAAAAGCGCATCGCCTGATTTATAATTACACCGCAAAAGCAGGGCAGGGGTCCTTAAACTGTGGTCCGCGGGCCATCAGACCCTCTGGGATCGCAGAAAATTTGTCAGAGGTTCCATGAGCTGCATTAACTTTGCAGTTATATTTATGTGTTGAAAAAAATTATTTTAAAAAGGGCCGGTGGCCTTCATCTGAGTGAAAATGGGGTTCACACCATGGAACAAAAGATCCCCTGGCATTTGTGGCATTCACATTTGTCATCTGTCGGGGGTTGGGGTACAAAATACCTGATTCTAAAATTAACTAATAAAAACATATTTTAAAAATCATAACATCAATAATATAAAACTTTAACTTAAAAAGTTGCTATAGACTATTGGAAGCAGGGCTGTGGCAAGCAAACGCTTCGACCCTTTGTCAAAAAAATTATAAATTATTAGGTATACTTTGCATGAAAAAAGACGATTTTGGTGCCCTCTGAAGATGGTGCCCGAAGCGCCCCCCTTGGTGCGGTCTGATTGGAAGCATCTCATTTTCCCTGTTTCATAAATTCATTATTAAAATTATTCAATTTATGCGCACATGACTACTGGCGTTGTTTTAAAAAAAAACAAAAAAAAAACACACTACTAAACGAACAAACTTAAGACACTTTCAAAATTGTTTAAATCTGGCTGCGAATTTAATAAGATATTTAATAGAAATAAAATATATTCGACGTCCATTTATACTCTCTATGACTATGCCTTGTCAGGAAGATCCATTATATAAAATGATATTAGCATTTTAGCAATAAAAGTTAACAAATTATTTTACTTTTAATCATATTAAAACTATTTTACAGTATTAAATTTATTTAAGTTAAATCAAGCACACTTTGATCATGATCGCATCATCGGCACAGAGGACTGTTGGGGGGGGGGGGGATTCTAAGTCTAGGTTTAAACATATTTGAACCACTGGCAATGATAATGATAATCATAATGAATTCTAGAAAGTAGAAAGCTTTTTATAGTTGAGTAGGCCTAAAGTAAAAATATTTTTCTTTCCAATTATGTAGGCCTAATTCGTGATGTCCACCCAAGCCTAAAAACCCTTACTAAACAAATAGGGATTCGTCGACCCTAGATTTTGTTGTGTGTTAAAGCAGCGGCTCTCAACTTATGGGTCGCGACCCTTTCACATGGGTCGCCTAAGACCATCGGAAAACAAATATAATCTACAGTTATGAAGTAGCAACGAAAATAATTTTGTGGTTGGGAGTCACCACAACATGAGTAACTGTATTACAGAGTCGCGGCATTAGAAAGGTTGAGAACCACTGTGTTAAAGGAATGGGTCGATCGAAATCAAGTGTATCGGAATTGGTAGTTGGAATCGCCCAATCCCGTTAAAATCAATTTCTCCCTATTTTGCAGTGATTTAAAGCAGTTACCAGCAGTCTACTATCACTACAATTTTACCCACTAAATTTTAAAATGGATACATCAGAAGTGGAGTTTCTTGCTGAAAGGGAACATGTTAAAATTATTCCAAATTTTACTCAAGATAAAATATTTTTAATTAGTGTAAGTGTCTACCACTTCAGTGCTGGCTATTCAAAAAAATATTGGTGAATTTTAATGACGTATGCCACTATTTTATGGAATTTCACGAATGACGAATGATCGAATGTATCCCTAAATCGGAAATCGATCCCAATGCCCGTATGCCTAACCTGAACCCTTAATCGATACCTATGCTTAACCTGAAACCTAAATCGATCCCTATGCCTAACATGAACCCTAAATCGATCCCTCAAACTGACCTAAACCCTAATTTACTGCAACTATAATAAACACACAAAAGACGCTGTGGCAGCCTTCCTTAATATTAGCCAAAATGTTTTTCGGGTTTGAAGTTCCATCTTAAAAACTTAATCCTACCGGTTATTGATTATTGCTTGAACCTGAAGAATTATCATGTCATGGAGGGGGGGGGGGAATATAGCGCCCCCCCCCCCCCCGCGTGTGAAAGAATTATATAATAATAAGTAGTGATAATTATTTAATAGTGCAGGGGGTGACTACGGTCTCTTCCATTTGCGAACATCCCCATATGTTCTACATTCTGTGTCTGAACACCAGTGTAGGGTCATTTGGATCAAAAAAGTTTTTTTGATGGACCACAGCAATAGTCAACAGAGTGTTCCTAGTTTAATCCTAGATTCCTTGTCTGATCTGATATTGATATATGTTTGCATATGCCTCTCCTCCATCAGTGACAATATGTACACCTGGTAGAATGCACTCTTGTAAAGTCATGGCACGTTGATCTGGTACTTCATCAAGAAAACTGCGACTACCATCTCTTTCAATGCCAGCAAAAGACAGGTGGCCCTCTCTCCACTTTTCGATAAAGTAGCACTTCAGACCCCAAAAACATGATTTTGAATATAGCCAACGCTTAAGTGGTAGATGTTCTGAATGTTTTTAAAAAAAAAATTCTTTTGACCTGGCCTGCACAACATAGGACCCGTGGGCCACATGCAGCCCACCAGCACCCAATTCGCGGCCTGCAAAGTAACAAAATACTCAGTATTATTATTATTTTCTTACTTAATAGCTTCCCACCGCCCCTCTCCTATTATGTTTTGGCCCACACACCTTTTTCACAACACAAAGTAATACATTTTGAGTTGTGCAGGCCTGCTTGTAACCTACTTAAACTTCTTTACTACTACACTCACAGTAAGTCTGTAATTGTAAACTGCCCTATGCTTTTATATTACTGGTTTTAATAATATGAGCATGCAGCATGAGTCAAATGGCCCTTACCTCTATATTATTTATTAGCTATATTCTATAGCAGTGATCAGAGTTTCTTTACATTATAACGAAAACCGGTTTTCAGTTTTGAAATAAAAAAACTGGCTGTTAATTTTAAAAAATTGGTTAACCGAATTTTTTTTTTGATGTCATGATTAAAAAAATTTTTTAAAAATCCTGAACTGTTATTTTTTTATGAAAACAATAATAAACTAACAATTAATGTATAAAGTAGCTGCGGGCATCGAATGTCAAACCATACCGCACGCTTTAACAGGGTTAGCTGAACACATGTAAGGTCATTCTAACAATAGATGACCGCCTTTTGTATGAAATCCGAGATCACTTTATTTTTGCACGTGTGTAGTTGGCTGTCAGTTAAAAAGTTGAAGTTAAGCATTCAATATTTTAATTATAACTATTTTTAATGTAAATACAATTATATACAATTCATGCAGTTAAGTTCAAACTGAAAGCCAGTTAATCATATCAAATAATATTTTATTGAAATCAGATACAAATTTGGCTGGTAGTATTAACAAATTCAGAACTGCCATATGCTGCCCTGGGATAAAGTTCTGGAATCAAACTAATCTTAATATCAAAATCGTACTCTGATCTCTAAAAATAGATTTCTACTTCCACCTAAGACTAAGAGCTTATAAAAGCATGTCAAAATATTACCTCGTTGTGCAGACAGTTAAATGATATATAAAATTTAACTGTCTTTATAAAACCAAAAACAGTTTGTTTTTTTAAATCTGATTTTAACATTCCTAATTATACCATATGTTTAAAATCTCTTTCTTAAAACTCCATCTTATTTATAAAACCAATTTCAAATCAGTCAAATTAATGCAACCGGTCTAAATTTATCTCTGCCAAAACTATTCAAATCCAAAGGCTATCTCATTCAGCAGTTAAACTTAGGAATAGACTACCAATTCCTATAAAATCCATCAAATCAATATCTATTTTCAAGAAAGAATTGACTTTTTATCGTTACCATTTCATCATTTTTTATTGAACTGAAAATATGTGTATGTGTTCATTTATTTTGTCCTTTGAATGATTGTATCGTCATATGTATGTCTCTGTTGCTTTTATTAGTTTCATTTAATTATTATTTTAGGTATAAGTATTTACTATTAAAATATTTATTATTGAGTACATTAACTGCCAATTTGACAAGAGGTGTATAGTCTAAATTGTTTCTGTATGAATAAATAAATAATAATAGAATGTAATGGATCCATCAAAATAAGGCCTTTTCTGCGAAGCACTGGTAGATTTGGTGATTTTATTTAGAGGGGGGAGGGGGGAATTGTCTCCTTTTGTTGACTTGGAGGGTTTCTTATTCATATTTCTGATTTAAAATGTTATAACAAGTATGTATATTTTACCATAACAAAAATAAATTTCAAGAGAGATCTTAGTGAAATAACTCAATCCCCACTATTACATTTTTGTTGTTGTTTACATGTGATTTCTTATGCTATCTTGAGTCTGCCATTTATTTAATAAATGTCTTATTTTTTAGGGGGATATTGGCCCATTTAGTGCTGGTCTTCCTGTGTCTATTCCATTGTGGTTGGCAGTTAATCTTAAACAAAGACAGAAATGCAGATTTCTTCCCCCAGATTGGATGGACATAGGTACATTCCAATCTATTCCTCATGTTTGGTTCATATTTTTCATGTACCGGTACATACAATTTTCATTAATCAAAATTTTCTCTATGCCAGCAAACAGTTATTTGCTATTTTCTGTTGAAATTAGGAGACTTAACATTAAAGCAAAAATATTTAAATTTAAAAAATGAATTAAATCTGAGAAATTATTATTCATCCACTTTCTTACCATCTCTTTTTTGGGTATATTAATAACCTTTTTAGTTGTATTAATTATTGGATAGATTAGAGTTCTAATTCAGCTCCAGTGTACATTTATTACATTGAAAACATTATTTATCTAGCATCGATTCCAGTCTTGTTTTTTAAACTTGGGAAAAAATAAGTTTTCAGTTACGGTTTTCTAAATATAGAAGAACTGGTGCACACTTGGTGCCATTGACATTGTATCAATACAAAAAAATTACAGGATAACCACTAGATTTAGAGGGGGGGGGGGGATTAGCCTGTAGGCAAATTCTGTTTTAAAGAAACTTATTCAGATCATGGGCGCCCGCAGGTAGGGGCAAGGGGGGGCACTTGCCCCCCCCCCCTGGATTGATTGGATACAAAATTTTTAGACAAAAAATGTATTAAAGTAAAGAGAAAATAAAAAGAAAGTAACTAAGCTGATGTCCTGTCCGTTCGTTCACCATACAAATACGCTACAGTAAATTAAAAATATATTAAAAAATTACTAAAAATTTTTTGACCCCCCCCCCCCCGGAAAGTTAATCAACTTTTTTTGCCCCCCTAGAAAGTTTTCTGCGGGCGCCCATGATTTAGATCAACATGGTGCAAAGCGGTTGAACTCACAAAATTGTTTGTTAAGTTTAAAAAAATTTAATTAATGGAAATATTTCAATGGAATATTTGATTATTTTTGTTTAAAATGTGGCATAGTTATCATATAAAAATTATCTTAAGAGAAAAAAAATGATTTGAAAATAATTTTTGATGGAAATTCTTAATTTTTAATATTATTAAGTAGAATAATAATTGATGAAATCTGATAATTATTTGTTTAAATATCTAAAATTGCATTCAAATGGGGAGCTGAAAAGGATACAATTTTTTCTTTCTTTTTGAATGAATTTAATTAACAGTTATTTTATATTGTGAGTGTATTTCATTAAAATAACAGAAATATTGAAAGCTAAAAAGCAGGAGGAAGCTGACAGCAGATTTTTCACAGAGATGTCCAGCCCCTTTTACATGGAGATAACTCAACTTTTACTACAGTGGTAATTAGGTGTTGATTAGCTAAATAAAAATTATATTATTAACCAACTGATTTTAAATTTAAATGATTTGAAAACAATTTAAGCCCTTGAACTAATCAAGCTTTTAAAGCACTCTGAAAATCTTCATTATTTGTCACCCTTTTTTTTTTGTGGAGAGTTATTTCTCTGGTAAAAGGTGCAAATATTTAAATGTTAATTTGGTTACTCACCTCACCTAAATTATTAAAAAAAAATTAATACTTCCTTGGTATATTTCATTATATTTTGTATGGAGAGAGTCAGTAGATATAAATCTGAACACATATTTAAATATTTTTTATACATAGAAATGCACCCCCTTTCACAGGGGTGGTTAGCCAGGCTATTTGACCAGGGCCTCATATTTATAATGTTATGAGATTTCTAAATATAAAAAAGATCAGCTGTTGATAACTTCCTAAATTTCAAAAAAAAAATCTCTCAAAGTCAAAGCAGTAAGTAATAAATGACATTTTTGTTCAATGTGATATATTAATATTGTAATGATAGCTAAGCATTTTTAAGAATCTGTCTCATAAATATTTTTGGAAGGGACCTCCCTACCCCAAAACCATTGAGCAAAATAAAGACAATACAGCTTTTATGACCATGTATTACAACTTTTTTTTTCAGGGGGACCGATGATATTCCAAAAGCTGATGAAATTCGGACATTAGTAAAAGATATTTGGGATCTTAGAATAGCTAAACTTAGGAGCAGTATTGATGTTTTTGTGAAAAGTGAAGCATCACATGCAAAGGTATGTTTTAATACATCTTTGAAGTAGGGTAAGCAAATAAAATATGAGCAGTTAAAATATCTGCATTTTATTGTATTATTTAGAAACAATCACTTAATGTTATTTTAAGAAAGGAATCATGGAGCTCATTGAATTAATATTCAAAATGTAAAAAAATCATTTACTAAAAGAAAATCCTTATTTAAATTTTAATTAATGAATGAATTTGTGTCTAAAATTGAATTGTAATACAATTATTCTAATGACCTTATAGTCAATTATTTTGTTATGTGTACCATTGATACTCCTCGGTAGAAGTACATTGAAAAATATTACAAATGAAATCTTGTTATAAAAAATATTTTTTAAACTTTGTTAAAAAGTGTTATATAAATCATATGCACTCAATTAGATTCAGAAAGTCCACCATTATACAATACAAATACAGTATCTTTTATTCAAAATGGATCAGCCATTCTAGCTTATTCAAATTTATATGTGATTATTCCACCATTTTCCAAATTTAATCATATGCCTATGTTTCTTTCTTGAATTTAGTTGAATTATTTGACACTAATGGAGATCAACACAGTACGCTTATTTCTAACAAAAGCTCTAAACCACATGCATCAGTTGAGGCTCATGACATCAGGACGTTCACAAACCCAACAGTCGCAGAATTTCTAGCTTAACATCCAGCACCAAATATGAATGAAGCATAGCCTGTCTCTACTTCTATGGTTTTTCTCTCTCTGATGGCTACTTTATAAGTTGTTTTTTTTTTTTAAAGATGTATTACATTAATAATTTATGACATATTATAAAAGCATAGAATTTTTCCAAGCCTTTTAAGTCCTGATCTTTGTAAAATATTGGTTCACAAGGTTGATATAAGTGAGACAAGATTAATTCAAATATATCTAACACTACACACTTTCTTACTTTTTCATACACATACTTTTAATTTCTTATACTATTCTTTTGCATGTATAATCTACGTATTTTGTTTCAAACATGTCTCAATGTAGTAAACTGTTTCAACTTAATTTGTTTTAATGAACACACAATAATAATAAATGAAAACAAAATTTGTTATTAAAAACACCTTAAGTTTATTTCTTGTATTGATAAAAAGAGACCCATGATATAAGAAAGTTACAAAGGAATGTGTCAAATTTCAGAAATTCTTTTAACCCAGTTTTTTAATACCTGTTCCACCATTAGTAACTACAGAAAACAAATCTGTTACAGGTGTTAAAAAAAGAAATTTAAGATTGAATTTTCACAGATTTCACATTCCTAAATGCAGGCAAAAAATATACTTCACTATACCAGATAATGTTCATGAGTGCTTCTCAAACTACTGGTACTCAGTGTGATGGCACAATTTAGTAAAATATTTTCAACCTTAAATTGTACCAGAGCTGTGTTTTGCTGACTGGTAATGGGCTTATTCATAGACCACCACTGTCAGAAGCACGATTGAAGATTACAAATAGCAATTTTTTTTAAACATAGTTCTATTTCTGTTCCTAAATAATACTCAATTGTAATCAATACTTCATAACCGTTAATCAATCTTATATATATAGAGCAAAGTTTCCTCTAAATTGTGATGTTTTATTTTTAGGAAATGGATTATTCCAAATTTCTTAACATTTTCTTAATCTGTGCAAATATTCAAAATTTCAGGAGCCATGCCACATCTGCATGATATCTGAATTCGCGTTAGAGAACCTCAACCGTTATGCATTCTTTAATTTATATTTTAAATACCAAATCGCTCTTTCATTTTTTTAAACTTAGGAACTTAGTAATGGCTCATAATTACAATCGAGTGTCTATTAACATTGAGCATATAGCAATTATTAATTAATTAATTATAAACAAATAGAAATCAACTTGAAAGGAAATTTACATTGAAAAATCCAATCCACCTTAAATTTTATTTTAGTTGAATTCTAATTTATATTGCATATTTTTAACTATCTATAAAAGATTTTTTTTTTAATAAAAAAAAAAGATAACTATGATTGATTTATTTGTAGACATTTTCACAAAACTTAAACAAAAAATAATAATAATTTTAATTTTATTATTTTTACTCCAAAAAAATTTGGATGAATCAAGTTTAACATTAAATTGAAATCCTAATTAATATAGACATTTAGTTTCTTGACAACATTAATTGTTACTTTTTAATTTAAATGTGGTTAAACCTATATTTTCATTATAAATACTTGTACGGAAAAAATAAAAAAATTATATCACTCTCAATGCACAGAAATGCAAACAAAAATAATTTAACCTTCCAAAATGTATATGCTATACTTATATGTATGTACAATCTTTAATTTATGACACTTTATATTAAAAATAAAAAGGCACAACAGTTAAGAAGTTCATTAATAAAACTAAATGGTAATGAACAACCATTTCCACATTGAAACATTTATTATGCTAACTAAAAGTTTAATAACAATTTTATTTCACCCATTCCACTTTTTCTGCCAGGGAAGTAGTTTTTCATAGTGATCCTTCTACTTGCATTAAAAACAAGACCAGGTTCTAATATTGTACTTATAAATTTCAATGTTAATATCTAGACCAGATGTCTTAGTGTATAAATAAGATTATATTTAGCTAAGATTACATCATTTTATAAGTAAAAACAAGTTATTTAATTTTTATTTAGACCCACAATCACAATATATAATATTGAACTGCATATCTACAATTTTTTATTTAAAAAAAAATCAGATAGGGTTCTTCTATACAAAGTCTTAGTATGATACAAAATGGTGTATAACATAATATTTACACATATATATATACATACACAGAGTACATTAACAAAAGCAGAAAAGTGAAGGGCAACTAAATTAGTTGACCCTAGATTGCACATTAAAATAAAAATATGGTTACATGTTTTTTTTAAAAAAAGTGGAAAACGGCTTTTTCATCTGATATGATGCAATAAGCAATTAGAGATGAATAGTTCATAATATAATATACACATTGTTAGTGTTGACTCTGAAAGATGTAAGAGTAAAAGTGTAGAAACTATGATATGCGTATGAGAGATGTAAAAAAGAAGGCACCAATACCAAGACATCAAATAAATCAAATGGTCAGTCTGTAACATAAACATTACAATTTTATATTCATTACATTTCTTAACTTATTTATAGTATATTGTGGAGGAATCATAATACTAATATGGGACACCTAATTTAGACATTAAAATACAAGGCTAGGTACACATCAAGATGTATGCAGATAATACTTTTCTACCATCTGAATCTGCATCTCATGTTTTTGTGTGTCATGCTAATGCTGTAACTGACACCTAAGTCTAGACTACCACTCCACAACTCGCGTTTCTGGAGCTGCATGCGGCTCTTTAGGGGAAAAGATGCAGCTCTTTTTTTAATACAGGTACTAATTTATAATGCCCGCAGCTCCCAAACAATTTCAACAGGTTCCTAATATTTTTATTTTTAACAAGGGCTCCGCTCTCAAAAAGGTTGCCGTCATTTGGTCAATCAACTCTGATTGCCAAGCTTAGTAAATTACCAATTAGGCTTGTGATGTAAGCAGACAAACGCACCTTACACCCCATGTGTTTCAACAAGATTCTTTCACACTATACATATTTATATGATATGAAGAATATTAATGAAATATCTTGGCAGCTAAAATTTTTAAATGGCATCATTTTTGACAACAACCAAAGAAAAATCATTGCAATCATATTAACACTTACATCATAAAATGTGATATGTCATGGACTTGGTTAATTACAATGTAATGATTCAAGAAGCTAGCACAGCATTTTTATTTGCATTACATCAAAGTTGGGTGATAATAATTTCCATTTCAATATTATTATTAAAACTTTTTATTAGATCTTAAAAAAAAGATGTGTATAAAATTAATTGAAACGCGTATCGTTTTTACATTCTTAGGATAATGAACCCCGAAAGGAGCATGTTAGAAAGTAAAAGCTTTAAGTAAGCATACACTGAAAATCGTTTGCTTTTACCACTACCCAAATATTAAAATATAGTAAAAAAATTTCTGCAGTTAGTAGAGAATTTAGAGATGTCTCTGGTGCAACAATCTATCCAGCACAGCCTGTGTAATCTTCCTAAGTGGTGCAGTTTATGTCCTATAATTTGATTTTATGATGATAAGTTTTATATTTAGACAGTCAGTTTTGTGTGACCTCTTGAAAATGTAAGTTGCTCTCAACCATCTTCTGCCTCTCTGCCAGCAGCAACTACTGATGACAAAAAAACAATAGAATTTTTTAATATCTAAAAATCAACTTCCAGAGCTATCCAGTTTTAAAACTAATTAACACAAGGCTAATACACTAGTCAGTTTAGGAATATAAAGACCATTAAAGTCTTACTTTCATTTTGCCCCCTTTTTTCCCCCAATGAGTGAATACATAGGAAAATGTTAGAACAATAAATATGTAAAAAAAAATTATATGAAAAGTGTTCTCAATATGGTTACTGAAGGGGGCGGGAGCTGAATTTCAACATTAAATTTGCTGTTCACATTAAATTAAATTTTAATATTTTAAAACGTCTTACAACTTGTATCACCCAACAGCACATCCTCATCTTTTTACAGATGGCAAATAATGAAAACCTGTTATTGACTTAATGCTTTCAGCAGAGTTGAGTTTATGCTACCTTTTCAATACCTGCTTTATTGTTTGATGACAGTGGCACTAGTCCTAGGTCAGATAAAAACTGTGACTTTTCTGGTGAACTTTCAGGTGTTGATTTGAATGGATCATTGTCTAAATTTGTTTGCTTGCGGGGCCTATGTGACAATGAGTTGTTCTTTAAGTTAAACTCCATTGTCTCATCTGTTTCATATTGAATGGGACTAATGCTGGCCAGACGCAATTGTCGCCTACGTCTTATTTCCTTGTCTCTTTGAAGTTCTACATGAAGGAAGAAGGAAATCAACTTTTTATACAAGTTTTTTTCTCTACATGACATCTGGTAATAATTCCTGCTAAATTTGCACAGCATCTGTTATTAAAAATGAAAACACCCATAAGCTTTTATATAAAAAAAAAAGAATTTGTAACAAGCTAACAAATAAGGTCAACTTGCATATAAATTATATAGAATAACTGGAATCCAAAGCCGTAATTTTTCAAGGTTAAAATAAACCGTAATCTTTAAACATATTTTAAAATGACATTAAAGGCAGAACTCAATAATGTTTTGATTATGATAATTAATTTTTAAAAGATGAAATATATTATATTATTTCATCTTGACAATTAAAAGATGTCAAAATTCTACCTTTTTTCTTGTCCATTGTTGTTACTCCAAGATATTCCAGTATAGCCATTTTATCAGCTGGAGTATCCAGAGGAATAGGAGTAGCCCTCCCTATCATTGTAAGTCTGACAATCATTCGATCATCCAAATCTTTCTCATCATCGGAATCAGTACCACTGTCCCTCTTAAACTTTCTCTTTCTCATTTTCACCTCCTCGTGATCCAGTTTGCTGAAGTACGGCTGTGGACTGACATTCACAGAGGAGGAAAGATGTTCGACAGAAACCTTTGATTCACGGCCCACATCAGGGCGCTTGCTTTCATTCTGTTCTGAGTTTGGAGCTGACGATGTGCACTCACGAGCTAAACTTTTAAAGTCAAATCTCTCAACCTTGTCTCTAACATAGCTTGATAAGGGATCAAGCTTGAGCTGGCCATGAGGCAGTGTGCTGTTCAAAAGGGGAGGCAGTCGATCTTTTATTTCAAACGGTGGTGGATTAACCACAGGTTTGACTGTTGGAATGGACAAAATGGCCGGGTGATGGTCCCCAGATGAAGTGGTATGCGTTAGCAATGACAAGCCGTGTGAAAGATTATTGGTGGACTGGAACCCACTTGACTTGAGTGGGCTTATTTCCTCATGCTCTGGAACAACACTGTGATTGATCTGAGATTCTGTCCCTTGACTGTCATCAAAAGGCCGGAACAAAGTTTTTGAGTCTGAGCCACATCGGGCCCTCTTAGTTGGATCCGTGGATAATGACAGTGCTGGAGAACTATAAGAAGGAGACAGCAGATGAGACAGTGGCAGAGATCCCTGGTGTCCATGCAAGGTGGGTTGTGATAAGAATGTTGAAGCACTGTTACCTCCCTGGATCTGTTGCTGCTGACTGTAATCATGACTTGATGGATTAAGATTACTGTTGGTGATCATTTTAGGCATTTTTGGTGGACTGTGAGCTTCAGGAGACCTGTAGTCTGCATTCTAGAAAGGAAAAATATGTTCTCTTTATAAAAAATAGGCATTCATTCTATAAAAAATTATATAAATTTAACATTAGGCAACTTTTTGTTTTGTTTTTTTTTGCTTAGGGTTTATGATATAAAAGTGAATATTGTTATCTAGATTAATTTTGTATATTTTGTGAAGGTCTTTAACCCCTTTAATAACAATCTGCGATAGAACATCAAGCAACATTAGTGTTAAGTTTGCCTATTGATAAAATTGTGAGATAAAGCATAATGCAAATAGCGTTAAGTTTGCTGTTTGTCCATAATACTAAACTACTCTTATTTGAAGAGCTCTAAAATCACCTCTAGTTATAGCAAAAAATGTTTGTTAGGGTTTAATCGCGGGCTGATTTGAAAATTAATGACAATTCTTCCTATAATTTTGTGCTATATAATAGGATATTATTTCAAAAGCAATTTCACGAAAAATTGGTTTCCTGCGTACCCGTAGAAGATTCGTTCAGACTTTGATAGTGAGAATGGTTATTTATCCAGTTTCATCAGTTAAATGAAAAAGAATGGTATGATAAATTTTGGTACAATAAAGTCAACAACAAAATATGAATTTTTAAAAAAAATGTGTGATACTAGCTTCAGTTCCATAACATAGACTAAGTTATGATTAGGAAATGCCTTTAATTGAATCTTTCACTGAGCAATAAAAATAAGAAGACGATCTTAAAATTGTCGGGGCAGCACCAAAAAATGTTGTCCTTTGGTTGACAAACAAATAGAAGACTGAATATAAACATTTTATGGTTATTAAGGCAAAAATACTAAATAAAATCCAACTAAAAAATGTTTAAATATCCCAAAATTTTGTTTAATAAATAAAACAATTCTTATTACTATGGAAATGTAAAATATATGAGCATCAATAATTATTATGTTGAATAAAATCAGAACCTAAATATTATTTTGAAATAATTATTTTTTTTTAAATGAAAAACTAACAAACCTGCTTTTTGATATAACTTTCTTGAGATAAAAGAAAACTGTGAGACTGGCTTAAGCTACTTGGGTAGAAGCTTGTCAGAGGTGATTTCTCTCGTGTTTCTCTCGGGCTGAGTTTTGAGCCTGATGAATGGCAAAGGTAAGAAATATAATAAATTAACTAACACTACAAAAAAAAAGTTTGTAAAAAGTTAAGCACATGTGATTACTTTTAAACTTACCCATCTTTAGTCCACTTGAATGAGTTTGGCCGAGTCTGGTACTATTACTTGATGGAAACAGACCTGAGGCACTTATTTCCCCCATATGATGATAATGTGCATAGTTCTCCGACACGCGAGAAGGGAGCGTTAGAAAGTCTTGTTTAAGGGATTCTTTGCTCTGCCTCCCCGGCAGGTAACGATCAACATCGCTCAATCTTTTAAGGTCTCTTTCAGAAGTTAATGTTGGATCTGGTTTTATATCCCAGTCTAACAACCTTTCTTGCTCTTTCCCTTTTTCAGCCAGCAGCCTTGGTTTCTCTTCATCAAAAGAATTCCTAAAATTGGTAAACAATTAGGACATAGGAAATGAACATATTTTTTTACTCATATTACATAAAATAAAATATATTAAATATTGAGTATTTAAAACCAATTAAATAGATACAAATAAATCAAGCTGTTCAAAAGTGCAATTTTTGCCTATCATGGTAAAAAGAGATCCAAAACAAATGTATTTAAAGCCTTTAGTCATTAAGTTAGCCTGCTTCTCACCTCTCCATCACTGCACTTTGAGCAGCAAACCTTGTATTCAGCAATGGATGACTAGGACTGAGGTAAGGGTAGTGTTGCTGCAGCAGTTCCATGGGGTAATGCTGAGTGGCAGCGGCCGCTGCAAGCATAGAATGAACATCCATTCCTCTGGTCTGTCCAGGCAGAAATCCAGCACCAGAAAAAGGCAAGAATGACGACTGAAGCATTCTGTACTGCTCAATGAACAATGGATCATCCAATCTGGTTTACATTTTAAAAAAATAGTTTAAAGAATTAAAAAAAAAGACAATAGCTAGTTTTTTTAAATTAAAACCCATTAAAAATCCTATGTTTCTCAATCAAGAAAACAATTTACGTTTTCAGCTTTAGTGTTTGAAGTGAAGACAGATTGATTATGATTCTTATGGCCCTACAAAATTAATTTGAGAGAAAACACAGTGAAAATCATTATTATTTACACTAAAGTTAAGTAAATAATACATACTAATACAATAAATTAAAGTGTCAGTCCACTACATTAAACCTATAACTGCCACAACAACCGTTACACCCCTTTAGGTGGTTTTGCGGCCGATATAGCAAAATCGTCATTAAAAATTGAATTGATTTAATGTATAGTGTTTAAGGGGAAATCACTCTATATAAATGAGTTTGCTTCCCATTTCCGTTACTATCAGTGTGCTAACGTGCTTTTATCATGGACTTTTTTGTGATTAATCGGGTGTGAAATTTTCTAAATTTTTTTAACCGTTATAGTGTCTGATGCCAGAGAGGGCCCCCCTTTGGGATTTCAAAACTAACACAGAATTTCTTTATTTGAATTATTTAAAATGTATTAAAATGAAAGCAAAGATGTCAGAGATATTCCACGTGCTAGTTAGTAATGACAGCATAGGCTCTAGCTGTGATGTGCGATATCAACAATTTTATCCTTAAGCTTAGTCATATTGTTACAGACAAATTCGTTTGGGAAAGGGTGCAAATCGAACAGAAAAAGACACAGATTTGATCCCAAAGATCTACCCCTATACTTGTAAGGGTCGATTTTTGACAAGCATATGAAATTGTTAAAAATGGCTTGACACTATAGAAATTTGTTCTTGACAGTTATAGTGTTAAACTTAAACACATATTCTTAATTAGATATATGCATGGCAAGTGGTATACACATTTACATAACAAACCAATTTGTGGTTTAAATTGCCACCAAGGGCATACAATTGTTTCCTTCCTCAGATATATTATTATGTGTGCCCTAAATACAAAATATTAAAAACAGCTAAAACCCAGCTAATAAATAAAGCTGTGTCAGTTGATTTAGTAAAACTTTGACCTGAACAAAAATGTTAGAAAACCTATTAAACACATGGGAGACAAAAGTTCTACGGAAAATATATGGACTAACAAAAGATGAATATGGATGGAGAATTGAACCAACCAGGAATTGTTTAGTCTATATCAGGATCCCATTGAAGCAGAAATAAAAAGGGCCAGGCTACGCTGGGCGGGATACTTAGAAAAAATGCCAAATGAGGGAAGAGTGAAGAAGGTGTACACCAAAACCCCAGAGTAAAACGGCTCAAAGACAGACCTATGCGTAAATGGATGTATGATGTGGAAAAAGATCTACATCAGCTGGGAATCCAAACATAAAAAAGAAAAGTAATAGTCAGGTCTGAGTGGAAGGTTATGATGAGGCTGGCCAAAGCCCTACATAGGCTGTAGCGCCACAGGGATGGATGAATGGAAGTTGATTTAGTAAGGTAAATTCTTTATTATTTTAACCCTTTTCCCTTCCTTCCTGACATATTTTGACATTGTGTAGCATAAAGCATTGCACATCAAACAAGGTAAAAATCTGAAGAAAGTACATACCTGAATGGATTCTGGGCAAATACTGCTTGTTGCTGGAGAAGAAGTGGATGGTATGCTGCTGTAGCTGCCATGTATGCAGCAGGATCAATGCGTAAAGGCAATGTCAATCCATGTCTAGCTGCATCCTCCTCTGAATGATAACTGTGAAAATCCCTTGAAAATAGTTCAGAAGCTGGCCTGTAAAATTAATTATATGTTATTTATAGAGACCTCAAGTACATTACTCATAAAAAGTTAAAACCTTGTTTGTGGTAAAAGAGAAAATATGTAACCACCCTACTAAGTAGAGAGTAACAAGAAAAATATTTCCTTGAAAATATTATTTCAAGACCTAACAAATCCTCAGTCTATTTTATAATAAAAGTATGAGAAATGATTTCTTTAATACTGAAAATATTAAATATAAATTGTTAATTTCAATTCTCATTTAAAACACAAACTTACAGTCTACTGTGCATGCTAGAAAGATAGGAATCTCTTCCAGTGATGGCACCATCATCTCTTATTAAACCCCTTCCATCATCTCTAGAATCCCTAACAGAACTGCGACCATCTCTATCTCGAGAATCTCTTCCAGTACCCTTAATATCTTCTCTAGAATCTCGTCCAAAAGCTCGAACATCATTCCTAGAATCTCTTCCTGTAACATGACCATCTCTGGAATCTCTACCTGTATTACGTCCATCATCTCTGGAATCTCTACCTGTATTATGTCCATCTCTGGAATCTCTACCTGTATTACGTCCATCATCTCTGGAATCTCTACATGTATTGCGGCCATCTCTGGAATCTCTACCTGTATTTCGCCCATCATCTCTGGAATCTCTTCCTGTAGCACTATTGTCCTCTCTGGAGTCTCGACCTATAATGCGCCCATCTCTGGAATCTCTACCTGTACTGCGACTGTCATCCCTGGAATCTAAGCGCAAAAGATGGTGTTCGAGACCAGATCTGCTCCCATAATCAAGTGGGGAAACATTGTTTGAGGACTGAAGCCTTTCTAAATTCTGAAATTCAAAAGAAACAATAAAAATACTAAAAAAAAAATTTTTTAAAGACATTTTTATTATATTTATATCATTTAAGAAAAAAACAACAAAAAAACTCAAAATCTGTTGCTGGATTGGCTACCTTTAAACCCCATATGCCATATGGATGGAATTGTTGACAGGCTAACAAGTTGATTAACATACAGATGCTGTTTAATACTTAAGCATGATTCATTGATTCTTAGAGTGTTTGCACAGACTAAACTCGAGAGGCTCATGCAACTGTTGCAGCATAAAGAAGTTTGAAATAAACATGTCAGTCTCTAGCCTTTGTCAAGCTGTAATGGTTGGTAAGCTTCTTTTATAGTGATAATTTAATTCAATATAATAAGAAGACACAAAATAGAAAACTATGCAATCTATTTTATTTCAAAAGTTAAGCCGATGATTTTACTTTACATACAAAATTTAAGATCCCCCCACAATTATTTTTTAAAAATTTGTGATTGTTTCTCGAAGAAGTCTCTCAAAATATTAAAAAAATATCACAAGTTATATTTTCCAAGAGGTCATTGTTGCAACTGGTGAAATATTTTTTTTATCAGGCACTAAAAACTCTACCTCTCAGGGGACTGCTTTTTCTTATACTGTTAAAACAATAATATCTGATTTGACAGCAATTATTTAAAAAGAAAAAAAGAAAAATTAATCTTATCTCTATAAGTGAAAACTATGATGACCTCACAATACTTGCTTTTTTATGGCATATGAAGTCAGTCATTCCCCAAAACAGTTGAAACTTTAACTATTAATTTTCTCTAATGGCAGCTGCTAATGAACTCATTATTTTCTTAAACAAAAAATATATCTACAACAGGTATATGGTGTGACAAAAAAAAAGTCCACATTAACATCCACACCATTTTGGTTTTGCTTGTATCTTTCCTTATGTAAAACCTGAAATAAAAGTATGACAAAGCAAATCCATTGCAAGGTGTAGCTGAGATACAGAGAAAACAAATCAAACAGACATACTGACCTACCTGTCTGTGAATATCTAAACTGATTGAATTTTGGCCCTGTGTTGAGATAAAACTATTGGATTTGGAAGGGAGTACAAGAGGAACGTGGGCTCTTTTGGGTGTAGTCGACCGAGAACTGTTGAGGGATGTTGGAGACATGTTGTGCTTGATTGTTGCATCTTCTAAAAACAAAAAAAATAAAAATTTACTTTATAATAAGCAAAATCATTTTTCTGAAACTTAAGTGACTTTCTGTGAAGCAGTTTTACAGATCTACCTGAAGAATCCTTAGTTTGGTGGGCCAGCTTCCTTAAGGCAGCAGAAAAGCTAGAAAGGCATGTGGTGCTGTTACTACTGGGAGAGATATGGTTGGAAGATTGCATGATTGCAGAGATTGGTAGTCTTCCTGATGAAGAACTTGTCTGGTTGAGGGTCAGTTTGCCACTGGTGGAGAAGCCAGCTAAAGGGAATAATAACATTAAGTGCAAGTAAATGACTTAGTAAGTAATACATGAAGAGTTCAATACATTTTTAAAGACAATTTTATTTCTTATAAAAAAATAGTTGGGGGGAAAGGTAAAAAAAATATTTTTGGATTAGAATTTGGGGGTGGGGAGGTTAGAACTAACCCTGGAGAAAACGTCCAGGTACCAAGATTATCAATGCACTTGTATTTGGCTAAGAACTGATAGCATGCCAAATTTGGCTGGACAGATGATCCCAAATGGCTATTTGACTTGTGTTATTGTATATCACATTAATTAATGCCATGTCACTCTTTTCCTTAGTATAGGCTGAGCTTTGTTTATTATTATTTATTATATAAGAGCTTACCATTTTCTATATTTATTTATTTTAAAGAGAAAGGACTTTCTTTTAATACCTTGATTTAAATAAAAAATAATGGCTTTAATGAGGACTATTCTTAAACATCTTTAATCACCCAATTGTTTTATATAAATATCATTAGTTGCAGCTCAATTTAATAAGTTATTATCTTTTGGAATTTGTCAAATATGAAACCAGGGGAATTCAGAAACAACTAAATATATAGACTAATGTTAAAAATACATTCTACAATGAAAGAAAAAAGTTACATTTAGTTAAACAGTACAATGAAGATTTTTCTCCTTTCTTCTGTTAAATATTTCATTTGTCATATCAATAAACAAAAAGAGACTATAAAATATCATTGATGATTTCTTTTAACTAAGTTACTAAACAAAAGCAACTGTCTTAACAAATATATTACAAAAGCTGGTTTTACTATTTTTTTCTTTAGAACACTGGTGATTTTTTGGACACCAACTTATTTTGAAGTTAGTTTTAGTTAGCATATCTAACTTTTATAAACTCTAAAAATGTATTTTATGTAGAATTATATATATATATAAAAGTTGCTAATTAAGTACAACTGTGGATAACTCACAATGATATGCCTCATTCACATCCACCATTCCATTGTCTTCATTGGCAACTGATACCGTCAGGTCCTGTCCGTGGTTCTGTTAAATGATGTAAAAATCTCAGTTAATTATAAACATTTACCCTAATAACTAGTTTCTGGATGTACCCAATTTTTTAAAATCTGACTAACAATGTACGTTGCAAAATCCATGAAGACTGGTTACTTTTAAATAGCATGAACGAAATTCTCAAGTCAGAGCTTGTACAAGTGTTGAAATATATGAGAAACAAGTTGTATTTAAGTCTCTTTATTAAAAAATGACAAAATTTATATTTAGTAGACACAGTACATTAAAAAAAAAATCACTTTTCTTTGTTAGTTCCCATTAGTAACATTATATTTTAAAAAGAAACATAATTATTTACCTTATGAAATAAACACAGAGGTGGCTTGAGATTTTAACTGGTACAAAAATGTTTCTATTGGTTTTAACTAATTTCTACAAGGATGTTAAAATCTGATAGGATGTAAAGCTCAATAGAGCACAGACAGCTTTTTTAAGGTAAATAATTCATTAAAAAAAGGTTAACTTAAAAGTTATAGCTCAATAAAACACTTGGAGCTTATTAAGGATACAAATGTTATTATAAAAACAACTTACACTATTTTGAGTGTCGCTACTGCTCTCCTCTGTGTGGTGTTGCACAGTCCAGTTGTATTTGCGAAGCTCAATGGGTAAACCTAAACGTTCAAACTCTGTGTATTGGTGTGTGAGACTAAAGTGACATGAACCACATGCGCCCACTGCTTGTCCTCCCCACATCACAAGGGCATTGGATGGAGCTTTGTGTTCGCGCAAAAATAAGAATTTCTGAACCTCCAAGGTCCGCAGCTTTTTCCTCGGTACCATCATCCCACAAACAAAACAAACAAATTCATTAAGTTTATATCTACGCAGCCAGCGATTTAAGTCTGCATGCACTTTAGACTCTTCAAATTCTTTCCACTGATTGAGCAAACTGTAGTAGCAGTATGAACATGATATGACAATACCATCTTCAGTCATTGGTTCTGAGCCTGGTGCTGGATCATGGCTGGCTAAAAAAGGAAAAAATGGAAGGGTATGAGGTTGTCCCACGACTGATTTAGTCTCATGCCGAATAGGGTAGGAGTATAAAATTTGAGCTTTTGTTACAAGGCATTTTTCCCCACAAAGGAAACACACTTTTTTTGGTCTTTCACCGGCTTGTTGTAAAGGGTGGGGAATACTTATACAAGAATTTGATACAGATGATTTTGAGTCTTCCTTGTAGTATTTAGCAGCCTCATGAGATGTAGTTGTACTGGTATTGTTTAGTGTTGCTGCTGTGTTCAATACAGGCAGAGCAGTTTTCATCAAACTGGGACTTCTATTTTGCTCTTTTGCGCTATGTCTTGATATGTCCTCAATATTGAAGGTTTTGGGTTTGATGTCAGGTTCAACTGATGTGTGAAATCCTAACACAGAAGTAGAGCTGGATGGTGGTAAAAGTGAGTATCGCCTATGAAGAAATGGTACTCTCTCTGTCTCATACTGATGCCACTGTATTTGCAAATTACCAAAACAACTGTAACAGACATGAACAGACCCATCAGGGTTTAATGGTCTAGCACCATGAGGCCTGCGAAGTTCTCGAATGAAAGGAAAATACATCTGGTCTTTCTTTCCACTTACTGGAGCAGTAAACAGAGGACACATCTTTGTCAATGGCCATGACTGGCTACACAAGTAGCAGACCTCTTTTACATTAGTTTTAATGTCTTTGCCTGGTCCAGCTACAATGCTGGAGTCATTAGTGTAAAAAACACCATTTATTTTAAAAATCCTTGCACTGTTTGGAGATCCTTGCTGCTCATAAGTTAGCCACTGGTGACAAAGTGATGAAAAACAATGGTCACATACTTGACACACACCCTGGTCATTCATTGGTGTAGCCCGTTCGGGTGGATTTAACTTAGTCAAAAAGGGAAAATATGGCTTGTTGGCTACATGATATATACTTGAAATTAATTTTGCTGCTACCCCCTGGTTTTGATTCCCACAAGTATAACACACAAAGCTAAGTTCATCTAAGTTCAATCTTGAGGTTGATAACCCTGGTTTTAGCACAGGATTTTCAGAACTAGATTTACTGCAACTTTTAATATTCACTTCGGTTTTAATAGGCACAGATAAATCAAGAACACCATCATCACAATCTTGTTTTCTATTAACACTATAATCAAACTCTCGATTACCAACACTAAAATCATCTCTAGAATCAGGGGATAATGGTGCACAACTATCCCCACATGATGGCTGATACTGAAGTCCCATAACCTGAGCCATATATTCTCCTTGGAGTTTCATCTCCGCTCCAGTAAATTGTCCATCATCAATCCGCTTTAGCCAATACAGGCGTTTTATTGCTGGTGTGTTGGTGCGCTCATAAGTATCCCATTGTTGAGTGAGGAAAGCACAGCACACTCTACAACTATCAACAATCCCATCAGCGCCAGGTATTCGACTTCCTTTTGGTGGGTCATGATGCTCCAGGAAAGGAAAAAAAGCTTGACCTTCATGTGGTTGACTGTGTAACTGATACTCCCCACCTAGACTCCCACATACAAAACAAACAATTCTGCTTGGCATTTTAATTTCTTGTGTTGCAGACAAGCATTTTTTGATGTTTGCTTTCTGTGATGTTACAAGAGGACTACATTACTTTGTGACGTATTGTCAAAACTCCCAAACATCTGAAATGAAATTAAGTTTCAATTTAAATACAGCTGCTTTCTTCTTAAGCTTCCCGCCCCTTAAGGGGGGACAGGTAGTCAAAATGCTAAAATTTTAAACACATGACTAAGACAGAATATTTTTTGCTAATCACATTGCAAAAGCAATAAAAACACTTAAAAAAACCAATTGGGACTAATTAATTATTTTTTTTATGCTTTTGATGAGAAAATAGGGGTAAAATTGACCAATTTTATATACTTACAGGAAACAGCGTAGCTCAATAACCACCAATAAGAATTCAATGAAACTTGGCATAAATATTAATAATAGGACATTGCACAATGTGATAGAAGGAAATTAGCATAACTGAAAAAATAATTTTTTTGTGAATTTTTTAAAATTATGTCAAAAAATAATCCATCATTTACGTAAACTGTCCTATCAAAATTCAAAATAATTTTTTTGTCTCTTAAAATAGAATAAAAACCCTCTATCACATTGTAGATAAACATGTTAGGAACATGTGGTGCAAATTTCTTTATAATCTGATAGGTTGTTTCTGAGATACACTGCTTCCAATAACCTGACCCTCGTAAAATTGACACAAATGAGAAAATGCAAAAAGAAGTTTTATTATTGAAATAATTTATTTTTCAAATAATTAAAGTGGCATAAAGTTATATTATTATATCACCTTGGCTTCTTGAAAATATGATACATCAAAAATATATTTAAAAAGTCTTTCTGTGGAAAAAATATAACTGATTCTCTAGCCCACCCCCCAAAGAAAAAAAATGCGAAAAATTTAAATAAATCTGCTCTGAGATAAAACTGCCTCTTTTCCTCTTATGTGTTGTGGAACCTCTTCTGAGCAATAGCTGACTGCCAACAGTAACATGTCTTTCCAGTAGGGCAGTCATGGTGTTTAGGGTTCTCATCAGGCCAGGCAGCTGCAAGCATGCGGAAAATGTCAGAATATTCCTCCGAAGGTCTTTTCATCTGTAACTTTCGATGGCCACTGCATTCTCACAGGGCCACTGCTGAAGATTCATTTTATCTGTTAAAAATGTATATATAATTACACTTTGCTCCATCAACAATAAATATAGTAACAGCATTACATTTTTTTTTATAAATGCAGATAGATAATATATTGAGCAGCTGTTCGTGGGGCCTGTAGAGATGACAATATAAAAAAACAATTATATATCATTATGATATAAACCTTACAATACTTCCAGTCTTACACTTACACCCACCTGGCATCAGGTGTCATGGCACTCTTAGATTCTACTGCCACCATGTTTCCAAGAGTAGTACCTGTTCGAAGCAAGCTGTACTTTTGGCTCGCAGAATCGCTGCTTGTTTTCTTGGTGCCATTTCACTGCAAATAAATCAGAACAATTTAATTTTAGTCATCAAGGTAAAGAAAGGATTACAAATGAAGTGGTTAATTCCTTATCTTTTAAATTGTTGATGATGAGAGAATTCAATCAAACCCAACAACACCCACACACCTTTCAAATAACTAACCTCAAACAAATTTTTTTTTTTTTTTTTTAGTTTACACTCAATTCTTGACAACTAAATAAGCACATGATAAAATATATCTGGTTAATGATAGTTATTAAATATTAAAACTTTGAAAAAAGTATATATATATATAATTGATAATTTAGTTAGTTTCAGAACTGAAATGATCCTTGTATTTATAATAATTTGTATGGGTAGGTTGTCACTACTGACGTGAGAAAGCATGACGTTGACGATACTGATACTAGTACTATTACTAAAACAATTTTTAATAATGAAATGGTAAATCATACTACATCCATATTTACCTTTGGCTTGTTATTGAACAAATATAGTGAGCACGAAAAGAGCAGCCTTTGATAAATCCAATGTAAGTCTGACAAACGGTGGATAGTTTTATCAACACAGAATGGTTGCGAAACGAAAGTAACCGTGTTGCATTTCGGTATACGGTAACCCAATTTGTGCTATTTTTGGTAACATTACTTATAGTTGACCAATGAAATTACAGGCTTTACTACACGATGACGTAGAAGCCGTCTAAACACACTTTTACAACAAATGTGACGTATTGCACAGCTCGCTTCTCTTTGTTAGGTAGAATGATTTTGAGATAAGTAGGTCACAGTTGTAGCCAGTGGTCTAAGCTTTCCAAAGAGGCCTAACAATAGGCATTAGGCTTGAAGGAATGCGGTTGTAAAGGGTTTTAAAATGACCATAACGTGTCGGAAAGCCGATTTTCCTGAAATGGTTGCCTAGATACGTGTTATATTAGGACAAATTATGTACTTATAACAATTATTTTTAGCAAATTTTATTTGGGGATTGTGTTTATAAGAGGTTATTGCAACCAAATAAACACTTTTTGGAAAATTGAAAAAAAAAAAAAAAACATGATTTTTACGTAAAGTTGACTACCGGTCCCCCCTTAAGTCTAAGAGTTGTTTTTTTATTATGTCTCACACCTCTTACTAAAGTAACAATACATTTTAAAAATGGAAATACAACAAAAGAAAAGACTTCTAACTTATTTATTCAATTACAAAGAGAACTGTAAAACTTAGAAAATAAACTTGTGACCAGTTTAACGAACATGTTAAATATTTTAAAAAATTTTATCAAAACTTAACAGCTAACTTGGTTCTTATAATCCCTTGAACCTCCTGAAATGACAAAACACATCCCTTGGGGGTGCAAAAAATTTATTTTGCAGTTCTATACTGAATTATTTTTTTGAACACAACAAACAGATTTGATTTTCTAAGTGATTATTTTTTTATAATTATAGTTATGAAATATTCATGGAAGGCTATTTAAAAGTATTATATAATAAACTAGGTTGTTAACTTGTTCGGAATTTTCTATATAAAAAAAACAAAAAACTTTTAAACAATATTATTGGCGTCAGCCCTCTACCAGCCTCCCTCTGCCTCTTGATCTCACAACTTCTTACTGTTTAGTTTGGAACCTAAAACTATTTTAATGCCTGTGCTATGGTGTCTGTCTGTAGAGTCTGCTGTCTACTCACTATTGATATTGACTGAATACTATACAGAGTAACAGAGGCCTACTATTATACCAGTTCAAGTTTAAAAAATAGTTTAATAGTTGCAACAGTAAGATACTTAAAAGTACCATGGTGAAAATGATATCATATACAATTTCAATAACTACATGATCGGGATGTTATTTTAAAATTATCAGTGACAGTAGCCTGTGACTGAACACTTTTACTAAAGGACCAACACCAACATTATTTAACAACATTCTACATGTAGAATGTAGGCTATTTATGATATAACAAAGTCAAAGAAGACAGGGATACTCCAAGTCTCACTCGACTACAGTATGAGTATGAGTAGTCCATAGACACTAACATTATGTAATATAGTATAGTAGTGTCTACAGTCAGTCAGTAAGTGAAGTTTATCCCTAATGCAGAATACAAATTCAAAGATTTTTATCTCACCTGTTTCAGTCTCAGTCTTTTCATCATAATAATCATAATCATATGGTACTTTACTCTCATAATCAGAATCAGAATCATGATGATGATGTCTTTAACTTAAAAAAAAATAATTAAAAATAGATTTAGATCCATTGCATTGATTGTATCAAAACATCTTTAATCTTTATTATTATACCTGACACTAAATTTGAATACTAAACTAAAATTAACCTAAATTGGTGCCAAGTTAAGTCTGTTTAAATTTGGCTTATTATTTATTCAATTTACAGTGTCTCGATGTGCAACCTCCTCTCCACTTCCCGTTTCTTGGCCTACTCTACAAACAAAGGTCAATTAATTTCCTATGAACAGACTGAACAGGTAAGCAAGGAATTTAAGTAAATAGGCCAGGTAGGCTCATAATTATCATGGACAGCAGCCGGGGAAACTTTAATAAAAGGCGTTATCACTTGTGACGGAGACAACCAATGCCTTACCAATAGAATACTTACAGATACATTTAAATTAAAACAACAAATAAGAAAGCCTATCAACCTATAACTAACCCGGATGACGTATTCAACTTTTAGTTTTCTTCCGTGTCCGCCATTTTAATGGCTGCAATTCGTATGGGTGGGCGCCACTGGGTATCGCGAGAACAAATATTCATTGATACAATTATAATTACCCGATACTCATATCAACGCACTTAGTAATTAGACAAACGATTTAAAATAAAATAACGTGTAGGCTTATTGGTGCACGTTCCTTTTTTAAATTCCAAATATATTTATTTATATTTTAGATTATATTAAATATTATAAATAATAACATCGTAATCAGTTTGTTAAGTATGCATTTATAATTTAACAAAGCTAAAATAGCCTTATTAGACTAATAAATGAGATATTAATTATAGTCAATTTAGAGTTCAGTGATCGGCAAACTGATTAGTCTTTATCATTAGTCAAAAGAGCCAAAAATCAGCAGCAGGACGATTGAAAAAACAAAAATGAGAGCCCAATTTCTTTCCAAAAATCTAGCAAGGGCCATGTTTTTCGTAGTCAAAACCGATTTGTGTCTGACTGGCCGAGCCAGACTCAGGTAGCTAAAGAGTCGCATGCGGCTCGCGAGCCGCGAGTTGCCGAACACTGATTTAGGGCTTACTACTAGCGGCGTCGGAAGGCTAAGGGTTGGATGGGACACTTTTTCTGTACACCGAGGGTGGCATTTTCGGCCAACAGAAGAGGTTTTTTATTGAATGGAGTCGGCTCCAATTGTAGCCCGCCCCTGGCCACTCTAGCCCTAGCTACGCCAGTGCCTACTTCTTCATCAGGGAAATCGTGTAACTCGAGAGCCTATAATGAAGCACAGAGACAGAGGCGTAGCGTGGTGGGGACGGGGGTGGGACAGATGTCCCCGGGCGCCAGCTAGTTAGGGGCGCCAAAATGTGCTTTGATATTATTTTATTGATAAAAATAATGGGTTTGAGAGTTGAAAAAAAAGAAAAAGGAACGCTAAAAATGGATCTTGTCCCCGGGCGCGAATCTTGTCCCCGGGCGCCAAACACTCTCGCTACGCCACTGCACAGAGTCAAGTCATAAACAATATGTAGAGAGGTGAACGTTCAAATCAGTTATTAAATAATAGTAGTTCGCACTCACATACAATAAAAAGCTCCATAGAGCCAATTGCCTATTGTTGTATAGGCCAGGCCGCCTCAACAGAATAAAAGCCCAGAGCCGTCGCCTGGGCCTGCGTCACTCTAAAGTGCGTCTCTTGTGTGCATGTTTTGTCCATTATTTAGCCCCACCCCCCAATGCTCGGTATCACATGTTATAAAGAATTTATAAGAAAAACTCTTTTTTTAGGGGTTGTTTAGTTAAATCCTTTATATCAACTTCGCTTTTGTGTGTTTAGGGCAAAATCTTTGGACGGCTAGATCTAATTTACCCACTTACCGTCAACCTATCGAGCTGAAACTTGGCACACAGACTTGTCTTCCAATGAATTGGCTGTGTTTTAGTGCTGTGGGTCCGTTTGGCAATGTTTAGTGCTGTAGGCGTGTTTGGCAGTGTTTAGTACAGTATGTATATTTGGCAGTGTTTAGTACAGTATGTATATTTGGCAGTGTTTAGTACAGTATGTATATTTGGCAGTGTTTAGTACAGTATGTATATTTGGCAGTGTTTAGTACAGTATGTATATTTGGCAGTGTTTAGTACAGTATGTATATTTGGCAGTGTTTAGTACAGTATGTATATTTGGCAGTGTTTAGTACAGTAGGCGTGTTTGGCAGTTCATAAACACTTCTTGTTTTGCTATAGAATGTCTGCCCATTTCCCGGTACATTTTTCAATGTGTCTTGGAAGGGTAGCTGGACGGCATAGGATTCGAGGAAGCTTTCTTTTTTTTCAACAGCAATGATGGGATTGTTATTTTTGTAAGTACGGTCTTGCTGCTAAGCTGCCTGAAGAACTGCTTTGCAACTGGAGACGATATGCTAATTTCTTAGTTTTGCTGGCGTTATCTGTTTAAATTTCGGAAACATGGTGTAAAGCTGCTTTAATGACACTGACTTCTGCTGTATGATTACGGCATATAGCCCCGCAGGGAGTTGTAGAATTTATCATATGATAGGTCACTGTACTCAACTCGTATGATCATTGGTCGCTATACTTAACTCGTATGATTGGTCACTGTACTCAACTCGTATGATTGTTCTCTGTACTCAACTCGTACACCGTTGTCTTCTTGAAGGGCTCCTTTTAATTCAAATTAATCTGTGCCAACTTGTGTTGTATCCAGTGATCAAGATATTATGTTTTGTTTCTGCAACTGTCAATGCATACTCATTGGGTCCTTATGTGGCTTTTCTACCTCGATGTAAGATGTTTGTAAATCAATTAGGTATGATTTAGTAAGTTACTCTGTAGGTGGTGTTTATATTCAATTTCAGAGGATCCATCTAATACAGAATTCTGTTTTATTCTATGGCGTGATCTCCATTTATCAACATGTGTTGTTTTTTTTTGGGGTAGGGGGATTTTTGTATAATCTGCTGTACCTTTCTACCAGCTGAATAGCTTCAATATTACAATAGCAAATGTGCTGTCAAGGTTTCAGAATGATTTAAATATACCGGTATCTCATTTGTCCACATGACATAATAGCAAATGTACTTTCAAGGTTTCTGAACAAATTAAGTATCTCTCACTTGTCCTTATTGAAACAATGGCATATATATAATTTCAAGGTTTCTGAGCCACTGTGATCAATGTAAAGTCCGGTAGCTTTTGAGTGAACTGAGGACACAAAGTCATGTGGGTGAATGGTGGAAGGTACATAAATATTGTGTGGGAGAAAGCAACGATTAATGGGTGTTTAGTTCATTTTGGGGATGGCCTTGTTCGTTTTAGGCGTCTTCACAGTTCTTCACTAGATTTCAGAGAGTTATTTTCATTATAGAGTTTTCATAGTGGTTGTAAACTGTACTAACCTGTGTGTAGACTCTTTATTTATACACCACTCTATCCTACATGACACAAATCTCATCCTCATCCTTCACGTGTACCTTAGCCAAACTATATAAAAACGGTATATAAAATTATAACTTTGTGTCTTTCAGAAATGAACCACTAACTCCTGTTTAAATTAAGTTTTGTTTATATACAAGTTTAATAATCAATCCACATTTACATTTTTAAGCTCTAGCTTGATAGCAAACCCAAAAGTTGATGTACAAAGTTCTTGATAAATTTAACAAAAAGTGTATGACACCAAAACGTATATTGTAAGAAAAGCTTCTGACTCACACATGAAATAACTCAGAGATCATCTCAAGATTCACATGACAGTGTTGGTATCTGGTCCTTTGTGAAGAATATTCCATGTTAAGCAATCACACTTTCACTTAAAAACTAGCGGAGTAAAAGACTCACCTTACATTTGAACACACAATAAGTGTCTTTTAAAAAAAATTATTACTTGACTTTCACGGCTACTGTAAAGCAGAAATGAAAGGTTATTTCAGAGCCGTTCACCATCCATTTTGCATAGTTCAAAAAAATTGCCAAGTCCCTACAAAAATAACCCTTTCTAAACGGCCATGCGCCTTTTGCTTTGATGAGCAGATAATAACTGAACATCCGTTGAAAGCCTTCAACAATGAATTTAAATTTTAAATGTAGTATAGTGTAAGGGAACAGAAGTTCCTTCTATTTAAATCAAATGAAAATAAACTGAGTCCACAATCAGAAAAACCAGTTTACATACAGACACAACAACCACCACTAACATCACCAAATAATTCCTTTTAGTTGCAATGCCAAGGTCAAGGATACACAATGAAGGTCTTTGATCCTAGAAACTAAAAGTAGGTGAATTGAATTATATATATTTAATTAAAAAAACTAAGGGTTTATATATATATATATATATATTGTTTATTTATTCATCAATAAATATTGCAAATTTTCTTAACAACATCTAAAAAAAAATAATCACATTCCATTATTATACAATGATTCAACTACTCAAAGCTATTTCATGTACATTTCCATGTTTTCCAAAATATATTTCATTCAATAACTATCAACTTGTACATATTTATATAAGGAACTAGTAACACACATGCTTTCTGAGAAATATTTTGTCTGGAAGAGATTGCCCTGTTACCAACACTTTTATGGTCTGATCAGCTGTAACATTAAAGGGAAGGAGGCACAAGTCGTTTTTAAAAATGTTCCATTCTTTTTTATCGATAAGGTTTTCTGGCTTCATGGCTCCAGGAATCGAAAGGTGATTTGTGATTTTCAGGGCCATATTTTAAGATGGACTGTATACATTAAAAAAAAAATAATCTAACATACAGGTAAGGAATGTCTTAACTGTTAATATTGGAGCGTTGCAAGTTAGTTTTAGAATATGCTGATTGCTATCAACAAAGTGTCTATATAATATGAAAATTTGTTAACATATAAAAAAAACTGCATGAACCACAGCTGCAATGATACTGATGTACAATAAACTACAATTTTAAATATCTTTCAGCAATAAATATATCTGTCCTCATTTTTTTTTCGATTTCTCTCAGCAGACGTTTAATGTGTAACAAATGTCTAAGTGCAACCTAAAACCAGCCATAGCGGCTAGCTTTTTTCTCCTCAGCCTTATACTCCTCTTCAGTCTCCAAGTACTCATCCCTGTCATAGCCCTCTGTTATATCTGATTCTGCTGCTCTCCTAGCGATCACTGATGGAGGACTTTGTGGAAGAATTCTAACAGCTGAATCCAACGTTAGAACCTGGAGCTTCTGGTTCTTCTCACTGAGCAGACCTAAATTTTTCAATATTAGGATGGCTTCACTTGAGTTGAATTCCAATTTGACACCTGTTTTCTGCTCCACCCATTTCTCTATTTGTTCCTCCAGTGATTTTTTGGTCAAACCTCCTATATAAATTTTAAAAATATGCATATCATATACTGAATTTATGCAGTCATTTAAATTTTAAAAAAAAATCCAAAATTTGTACAATCAAAACATAATTTTCTCCAAGTACTTTAATATTAAAGCCTTAATTAAAATATTTAATTTTGAACATTTAGAGAAAAGTTAGAATAGATTTTCAAAATTTTCTCAAAATTAAGTAACTCATAAGGTTGTCAATTTTACTTGCAGGGGAAATATGTACATTTTGTCCAGCTTTGAATAGCTTCAGAATAGAAGAAACTTATATAGAATCTTTTTAAGTAACAAAAATTAGTGCATTTAAAATAAGGGGTTTAGCGTTTTTGTTTGGTATTTTACATCCCATTTCTTCAGTTTATTAAAATCATCACCTTCTGAACTAGAAAACTCTTTCTCCTCTCTTAAGGCCATGGGGTAAGAATTTAGCAAAAATGCATAGGTCAATATGGCTTCCTTTAAACTTTCATCCTCAGCTCTGTCCACCAATAGTGTTAGCAATCCCTTGTTGTTAGCTATATTCTGTTGTACACAAAAAAAATTATTGTATTGAAAAGTTAAAATAAGAGCCATAATCAAAATAAACAAATAGAAAAAAATTAATTTAAAAAATAATTATTTCCTAAACTACCGGGCGTTAATATCTCCTAAACTATCATGGTGGTAAGTATCTCCTAAACTATCTATGGGTGACTATCTCCCAAACAAGGTGGGGGTAAGTATCTCCCAAATTATCTGGGGGTAAGTATTTCCTAAATTAACAGGGGCTAATGTCTCCTTCAACTCATCCTCACAGACTTGGCCCTGTAGATCATGTTGAGACGACCTCTTCTAAAAAAACTACTGATCAATTTTATAGTTTATAGATGTAACTTTTTTTCATTACTAATAATTTATAAATTACTATAAAAAAACAATTTAATTGAAATAAATTAATTGATGCCAATTAAAAATATTATATCAGTAATATTTTTTTATATTGCAATTTGAAATAAAACAATAAATTATATGATAAAAAATCTTACATAATTCTAGCAACCCAATAAAATATTGAAAAAAAAAATAAATATTTTAAAATTAACTTAGGAACAAACAAGAAGTACTTCTTACTTATGCTATATTTATATTTTTAACCACACACAATTTTTTAAACTGGTCAAATTTTCTCTCAAAAAGGAAAATATATTTTCCCTCATATCTAAATTACACTTGAGTAAGCATCTTCTTTTACTGATACTGTTATGTATTTTAGTTCTAAAATATTTTCTTTGGATATTTTGTAAAAATTTAAGGCATGTGTTGTTTATAAGCTACTCCTGGTAATGAACTTAAGATAGCGATTGAAAATTTTTTTTATTAATGAATATCATTTTCCTTTTAGTTTTGTATTAACATCGTATAAGCAATTCTATTCAATATTATAGTTGATAACAATTAATATTTAATTATTATTCACGATGCCTTTCGACCTTAAAAAATATTTTTTACTTTTTAGAATAATGCAGTATATTTATGTTTTTTTCCTCACTAATCTGGTAAAACAAGTGAAACATTTGACTACCTTGAAATAAAGTGTTCTAGATACATCTAAGAGGTAAGCATTTCTTCTGTTCTTGTAAGATGACCAAATGCGAAACCCAATGGAACCAGTCACTAAGGTTAATGCTAATGTCCAGTCAACCTGAAAGATTTTTGAAAATGGAATTTTTAATTGCAGAGCACAAAGCTGGATGAAATAGTGGGGATGAAGAAAATAAAGACAACAACATTAACAATTACTATGATAAAATTAATAGTAACCATTACCAACATTTTATTCATTTCTTTTTTAAATGTAACCTAAATATTTATAACATTTTTTAATTTCAATTGAGGTTTAACTCTTTCGCTGCGGAATTTTTTAATCGAAAAAATGTACATTTTTTGTAAGTGCGGAAAAAGAGTGAGAGGTTGGGTTTATTAAAAAATGTTTAAAATATTCTGTTTTATAAGACTAAACTAGGTATCAAATGAAACGTAATTGAAAGGACTATATGTTTTTACAATTATTTCTTCACTTTAAATAAAATAAGTTACAGAAAAGAACCATAAAATGTGAAAAAGATTTATGCAAAACCATTTTTCCCCAAACCGTATGATGTACGAATACCTCATCCTCACTTCTATAACTCAATTCCTCTAAAACTACTATCAGAATAATGTGATGCATCTAAATATAAATCATCTTCACTATCAAAAGAAATAGTATAAAACAATTCTAAAGCTTTTTAAACTGTTAATCGTCTAGGAAACTTATTTACTAGGGCTTAGAGTAGCCATAGCCACAGTAGAAAAAAAAAAAAAAAACGCGAAGAAAATCATCAAAATAATGCATCAAATGACAACAAATAAACCTTGGTTGGGCTTATAAACGATGAAGTACCACTCTTCTATGTAAAAGTCTTATTTAAAAATAGCTCTTAAAATGTATAACTGAGAAATAGCAAAGAAACAAACATGATATTGAAACAAGGCACAGCGCGTTAGCAAGTGCTTTTGAGAATGGCATGCGTTGTTCCGCATCAAAAGAGTAAATAAGTATAAATGATATTATAATTAAACTGGTACCTGGTAATGAACATTTAAAAAAAAAAAAAGTTATTGTATGTGTTTTACTACAATTAATCAAACACAATTCAATCACTATCAAGTTAAAAAAAATGCTCCTATCAATTGAAATGCCAGAATTACAATTGGGTTGACAGATTAATACACCCATGTGACGCATATAATCTTTAATAAAAACAGAAAATAAACAAGCTAAAATTTTAGTGAAAACCAGAAATAAACTAGTTTACATTACATAACTGCAGGAGTTCTGCCAACTGGTCAAGTGAACGTTAAATAATTTTTTGTCACTTCCTTCAGCATATATAGGACTGCACAGATAAGAAAGGCATCAGGAACTTACAAAACTGATAAGAATTGAGATTTTTCGTCGCTTGAAAGTGAACACCACATTTTTTGCCTGAACATGAAGTGATTATTTCCATCAAAAATTTTTTTATACTTTAACACTTATAAGCACTTACATGTAAGCTTGCCAAAACTGTCACAACCTTGGCTAACACACCAAACCCAGCTATAGATCCAGACGTAACAAGCAAAGTTTTGTCGAGTGAACTCATTTGTATCTTGCCATCAGGCAACAACATTTCCAAGCTCTCGACAGGTACCTAGATAAATGAGATGGAAGCTGCTAGCTGTACTTTTATTTTTGACAAAGTTTCAAACTCTTCTGGCCATTTACTTAAAAAGCTCACTTTCCAAGTAATATTTCTTAATCTTTAATGGTCCCCGGTCCGCTATTCATTTAAATTGTTAGGGAAACCTTTTCTTCTGTTAATTATAATGAAAACATTAGGGTCTGGATATTCAAATCTTAAATACATCTATGAGCTATATTTCAAATATTTTTTAGGGCTATCTGTAAACTAAGCATACTTTTTTTGGTCTTAAATTTAATAAAAAGATGTTATGAGAAGTTACCTTTCAATTTCTTTAAAAAAAAAAAAAATCAAATAAATTGTAGCGACATTTAATTCTGTTTGATTTATTTCTAACAGCCAAATACATTATTTTTCTGAAAGCTGAAGAGACCAACCTCTTTAAAAGCCTTAAGAATCAGCTTGGAATCTTTCTTTAACCTAAGGGCTAACACAACCCGTTTATAATATTCCATAGGTGGTCTTGGTGGTCGTCGCAATATTTTATTCAGAATTCTCTCGGACAAAGAAAGTTGAAGTTCGGGTCTTTCATGACCTAGTACCCAAAACCGAAGAACATCGTATCGACTTGGATCAACACTGACCTGTTGTATTAAACAATATAATATTTCAAAGCTTAAAAGAAAAGTTATGACGAATACTATATTTAAAAAAATAGGTTTTCATTTAGTTTAGTAATATTTAGATTACAATGTATACTCACATATAGGTAGCAATATTTTAACAGAAAAATTCAATAAGAATCAGGGGTGCGATCTATCCCCCAAAATCAGTTTTTGCTTTCTGTTATTCAGGCTTTAGTATTTATTTATACCAAAAGTTGGAGAAACATTTTTACCAAAAGTTGGAGAATCATTTTCTCTGCCTTGCTCTCTCACATTGGACAAGAGGGCAATCCATTTAAAAAAAACAGTTTATTAAGGATAAGTGTATACATAGTTTATGATCACTTTTTAGTTTTCAAGCTTCTATGTAAAAAATGTGTGTGATATCTGTTTAACAAATATTAGTTATTTTAAATTTGAAAAAGGGGCATGTAACTCCCAAAACTAAGGATGCAACCTATCTGGGAGTCCACAACAAATACCCACTTTGACAACCCCAAACTGATGGTGTGACCTACCCATGATGCAAACTATAAGCAAGTATATACCGGTACAATACGTTATTTCAGATACCCGGTACATTATAAAAAAACAAAAAACTAAAAGGATCCCTGACCCTAACGCCCTCTTGAGCTTGGTGCTCTTTGAGGAAGTGCTCCACTTTAGCCTTAGGCAGTTCGTGAAAGTTGGCCTTATTCATAACATCTTCAAGCTGTTGGAGGAGATAGAATTCATTGTCCAACTTTTCACTTCTTGTCCACTCTCTTACTTTCACAGTATCTTTATCTGGATTGATAGGGTCAAACAAAACCTGCCATTTCAGAAGTACAAATAAATAATATTGTTTTTCTCATACAAAGCAAAAAGGAATTTTACTTTAAATATAAAATGAAATGATTCTTAACTCCCAATTTAGTCTTGTATAATTCCACAATGAATGTGTTAAATAAAGGAGAGAAGTTTTGATTTAAGAGTGCAGAAAGAAATATAAATTAAATTACCGGTATTGTAACAGATTTCCTCATAAGTTGCTCGTCACTAAATATTAAAGTTTCTTCTTGAAAAGTTATTTAAACTGCCCCTGAGAATTATATGACCATATGTAATACATCTTTTTCTAAGGTTAACAATTTAAAGGTTTTATAATTCTTTATCTTAGAGCAGTGGTTCTCAACCTTTCTAATGCTGCGACCCTTTAATACAGTTTCTCGTGTCGTGGCGACCCCCAGCCACACAAATATTTTCGTTGCTACTTCATAGCTGTAAAGATATGTGTTTTCAGATGGTCTTAGGCGACCCCTGGAAAAGGGTCTCGCGACCCACAGGTTGAGAACCGCTGTCTTAGAGTATCTTCATTAGGTGAAATATATTATTTCAGTTGAAAACTTAAAACCCTCTAATAGCTGGCCAGCAGTGATATAATTAATACCTTTAATTCTTGTAAAATTGTATGGTATTTGTTGACCAGGGCACTGTCAAGCGCAATTACAAAAGTGCTGAAGGTTTTAAGTTCTGAATCAGCAAAAAAATTCTTTTCCTGGAGTAGATGACGAATAATAGACTGGCGTGTGATAGGTATATAGCGCTCTCTGTTAAAATAATTTAAAAAATTATACTTAGATTACTGCTAATATTCACTATTATATTAGCAGTTACATAAAGATCCTAAGTTCATACATTCAAATTAAGAAGTACATTCCTCAAAAGATATAATAATGAAATGCATTTTCTTTAATTTAATCTGACCTGTATAAATCGCCATTCTCTGCAAGCTGAAGCTGGCTTTTACTTTCTGATCCCTTTCCAACTCCATTTCCTTGTGTTGAAGTAGTTGCAAGTTTGGATTGCACATTTTCTGATCTAAACTTAGATGTAGTTGAAAAACACAGCGCAATTTGGAAATTCCGACACGCAACCAGTGAAGTGGATAGTAGCTGTCTTTCGGTCTTCAGGGTCAGAAATCTTAGTCCTCTTGGCTATTGGTAGAAAAAAACAATTTAAAAAACAAATTGGTTCCGGTACTGGAATTAAAAGAAGACATATAACAAGTATATTCAGTAATAAGTTAATAGGGGCTTATGTTTTAAAACATAGTTTCATGAACTTTGGCCGTAAAACATTAACTTTAACAATAGAGTAGGGGAATATTGCCCTAGGTCGGCTAAGCTCTTGTATGTGTCATGAAAAATTTAGGCTTAGGAAGTGAGAATACATCCATAATTTGAACTCGTTTAGAGAACTCCAAAATGAGCTTTATGTTATGGAACAGCTTTTTCATTAACAATTTAAATGCTGTGGTAAAAAGCATGCACAATAAATTTGACACTCCCTGGATATGCTGAAATGAAGCCATTGTCAGATTATAACTAAACTATAAAAGAAATATTTTATGTGTCTATACTTTCAGTGTGCAGTTTATAGAAAAAAAAAACAGTGGTTGCCAAGCTTAATTTTGCACCTGGCCCTACATTTTATTTATCAGCAGGAAATAAGGTAATATTTGAACGTATGCACCGGTATTGTAAAACAACAAGGTAAAAATTGATGCACCGGGTATCGATGAAATTAAGGCTAAGTGTACAACCAATGTTCATTGGTTTATATTTTAATACCAAAATTAACCTTATTCAGTTAGAATTCACTCAACCTCAGCACATTTTAGAATTGACTTGTAAATTCTTGTATATAATCCCATTATTTTGCTGAATAAAATGCACATTTTTATATGGTAATCTACCACTTGAGCGTCGGCCAAGAAAAAATGCAGCTGTTCCGGTGGGAAGGGCTATTTAAAAAATTATTTTTATACTATGTTTAATGACATTGGTTGTACGTATTCATTCCCATAATAATAGTACTAATACAAATACACAAGAATATTTTTTTTAAATAGAAAAACTATTTTAAAAAATTGAAATGGAAGAATTTAAACAATTTAATGTTTGAAAATGGAATTATGCATAGTCCTCCCCCAAGGCGACAATGAAGTTTAAAAAAATATAAGTTCCACGAAATCGGTTGTGGTACATGAATTCACGTAAATATGAAGGGGAAAGATCACGCACGGCCTGTGCCAAACTGTCTTTACAGTTTGCGCTTTTTGAGCATCCATGTTTTCCACATTCTGTGTGTGGACATCCGCGTTATTTGGATAAAAAAAAATAATTTTGTTAATACACCATCCTGGATGCTGAATAAGGCTAATAAGGGGTCTGACAAATTCAGTAGTAGTGTGGACAGCCACCATTCTTCTTCATTTCGTATCTGATCTGTATCAAACATTTCGGTCATCGGCACTTTTGTAGTCTCTTTTTCTTCCTGGCATATCGGTAGCATGGCAGTAATAATTATTTACATGTATTAGTATTGTGCTATATAACTTTATAGCCTATACGGAAGCAAAAATATGAACACTTTATAGCCTATACGGAAGCAAAAATATTAACAGACTCCAATGTAAGAATAGTTGTTTAAATAGCCCTTCCAAACGGAACAGCTGGATTTTTTCTTGGCCGACGCTCAAGTGGTAGATTACCTTTTATATATTTTCAGACCTGTTTCTTATGATTTTGGCATAAACGGTACGATTTTGAGGTGTATACATTATATATATATTATTTTATGTTTATTTTTTTTAAAAATGTATTGAACATTTCAACTTTGACTGAAAAGACTAAAGACAGTTGATGTTGGTTGCATTAAAAAAAATGGTTAGTATTCTCACTACACATATTTCTTGTTGAAACAATACGAAAAAGTCATATTATTTTCATTCAAAACACCATGTTAGCAACAAAAGATCTTTTATTGATGCCTACTTCAAAAGATGTAAACTTCAGAACTGGATGACATTTTGTCCCCAATTTCCTGCAGACCAAGGAGGCTGCCATTTTTTAATTTTATTAGGTTGAAGTTTATATGATATCGATCTTTTTTTGTAAAATGACTACTAATAGTTCTATTATCAAGTACACGAAATGTAAAAGAATCTGAATTCATAAGACATGTTTTTATTTTAATTTTAATTTAAAAAATACTTTTCATACAGAAATATCATTATGTAGTTAAGCTTATTTCACTTTTCACATTCAATAAATTCTAAAATATTTTAAGTAATAAAGGGTTCGATTCCATAATTTAAATTAACATTTCGGACTTTATTAAAATACATTCGTTCAATAACATTATTGTCTAAGCCTTGTATTTTGCATATTCCGTATGGGACAATTTCAACTTTTTTGTGTGATTTAATTCAAAAAACTTTATTCTCGTGATTTTTCTTAAAAAAGTATTTAAATAACCTTTAAATGAAGGGGGGAAATGGGTGTGGGGGAGGAACATTTTTGACATCTCTTCTCTTGTGCCTTTCTACCCGTCTGGGGCATAGGCCATCCACAAGAACTTTCCACTCCTCACGGTCCTGTGCTTTCCTTTCCAATTGCTTCCAGGTGTATTTTGTGTGTCAGCCTCTAATTCGCGTCTCCATGTATTCTTAGGCTTTCCTCTATTTCTTTTTCCCTGTGGGTTCCATGTTAGGCATCGTCTGGTGGTGCTATCTGGGTGTTTTCGGAGCGTATGTCCTATCCATCTCCACCTCTTCTTTATGATATCTTCATCAATGGGCCCCTGTTGTGTCCTTTCTAGTAAATCTTTAGTTATTGATATTATTTGGCCATTTGATTTTCAGGATCTTTCTAAGGCATGTGTTTATGAATGTCTGCACTTTCTGCATAAGGCTCGTTGTTGTTTTCCAAGTTTCTGCACCATATAGTAGGACTGTTTTGAAATTTGTATTAAAGATTCTGACTTTGGTTTGCAGTTTCAGCTCCTTTGACTCCCATATTTTCTTTAATAGTACAGATGCCGCAAAACGTGAACAGAGACAAATAAGTCTGCGGGGTTTTGGTCCGGGACTTTGACTTTCATTCGGTTTGGAGTCTCAAGGAGTGTCAATTACTTTAGGCAATCTGCCAGAAGTCAAGTAATAGACCGTCATGTTCAATGTGTGATGGGGATGCTCGCTGGTAGGTCCGAGTGGCCTTATTATTGGTGAGCGCGCCAATTTGTTTTGGATTCAAAGTTGTAATCACATCCCTAATGTACGCCATTGTTCATCGGCCTGTTTGGACGCTTTGTAAGTACCGGTACGATATAGCCAAAATACACCTTTATATTTCTGTGTTTATAGAATGCAATTGTTCGGTGTTAGTAATGGAAGATTTCTGTTCATTAATTATGTTAGGCAGTGCTTTAATCAATTGTTAGCTACGTCAACTTGACGTGTAACCATGATGATGTGATGGTTGAACATACAGCCGTCCTAAGAATTTTAACATGGAAATAGATATCGGCGCGTAGTTACGTGAACATAACAGCAACTGTTACATCATTCTGATAAAACATACTATGATACTGCAATGTGCTTATACAACAGTATCCCACAAGCGAATATGCGTAAAAGATGTGTAGCATGCTAACTATCCTGCTCACATAAGAAATCGAGCATGTGTTAGTAGTTAGATATTTTTTTTAAGATATTGTCCTTTGTCTTAAGGTTTTTCTTCATCTAATACTAATACCTGTTTTGTTTGTTTATTTGTTTGTTTTCTTTAAAAAAAAAATAAAAAAATATATATATGTAAAAACTTGACTTTTTTAAATTTGACGAATTCTTCTAAAATTTCGTTCCCCAAAATGGAACTGATTTAAAAATCAAAAACACTTGAGAAATCTGCTACCTGTTGCATACATTAAATAAAAAATATCACTGCACGGATCATTTTCATGGGTTTCAATGTTACTTACAAGGTCAACATTTTAGATTCTGTATGAATCTTTTAACTTTAAATCTTCCGTTTCTGGTACCTGTAATGAAGAGTTTTTCAATTTAGAGCATGCCCTCTAATATGCATATGTAGAGCACTCAATAGTTTTCACACTTCTAACACATTTTTCATTTAATCTAGATACATATCTGGATTCAAATGGGTCAAAACCATGATTACTAGTTCATGCCTGTGTCAAGTGGCCAGTATCTCTTGCAGGAACGACACCTGCTTTCATAAGAAACCCCTTCTGTTGCTCACGTACCGTATATTATTTTAGCAGTAATCTATGTATTATAGAGTAGATTTCCAACAGCTGATCAATTTATTTTATGTTTAATTTGGATGCAAACAAGAGTAATATATATTTTTTTAAAACTGACGATAAGTATAATATAAAACTTTATTATTTCATATGTTATTTATGTAGCCTAACTACAGATTACACCTTCATTTTCAACTGTTAAATTTGCAATTTCATTTAGGTCCCTAATAAATATACGACTTATATAAGGAATTAACAAAAAATATTAGGCCTTCCCATTTACTTTCGCTTGTTTCTATATGTTTAATAAAAAAATAAATAAGAACTTCCCAATTTTTTATGACTAGTTAAAAAAAAAAATCATTTTACTACTTCAAAACTATTTGTAATTCCTGCCGTAATTTACACATTTTTTATTGTTAACATAATCCTTGTTGTTAACAGCGTTTTTCATTTATTAATAGTAATAAACAAATAAGAATTGAGACTGAGAGGTTGGTCACTTGTTACTAATTGCTTAATTTCCCTCCTCTTAGTCCTAGTGATAGATAACTAGCTAATAATTCGCCTGTTAAGCAAAAGCCGCATGGAAAAAAAACACAAAACCTTTACACTTTATATGAGATTTGCATTCTTCTTCTTCCTCTAAATCAATGTTGGAATGATTCTGGCTTCTATACATCCTTTACAGTTGCAGGTCGCAAAATTCTAGTTTCAAATCCGTGAGGAAAAATATGGAACCCATATTTTTAACAAATTGAAACATCGGTTTGTTTCTAATAGAAAAACAATTAAAATTATAATACATGTATTTTTTTTTTACCAGATTGAATTTGGAAGATAAAAACACACCAACTATATTTTTTGTTGTTGTTCGTACACAGCTGTGTTTAAAAAAAAGAAGTAAATAAATGTATGTAATATTTTTAATGTCAAGATTGTTTGCTAATATTTTTATGAGCAGCCCTAGGCTGGGGTACCGCGCCTAATAAGACCTCACTGTAATAATAATAATATAAAAGTAGTTGACAGCACAAGTTTCCCAGATCGTGGGACTTGACCTCGATGGGGTTACGAGGGTATTTCTGTGGGACCGCCGTCTGAAACAATAGACTAAGAGAAAGAGTGATTTTGAAAGGTTTAATTTTTAACTGTTGTCTTAGAGTTTGAGTTACAATTTACAATCATGGCTTTGAAATATTTCGGTAATTAAGATACTGAATAATCTCGTTTTAATATGTTTTCACTTCCCAAAAAATTACATTATTGAAAAGCCCCTTTTTTGGATACGTCGTGGTACGGATCACTTTCGCTGTATATAAATGTGATCTTGACTTGAAAACGCGTAAGAACCTGTGTAGAAGAGCTACCGAGGTTAACAATGTAGCACAGTTAACTATATTTTACAGGTCCTGGCTTACAGCGACAACTTGTGACAATCTGTGACTTCAGAATTTGGAGAAAAAAAAGTTCTACGTATTCGTACCTGGGATTTCCCGGTAAGGAAAAATCTCCAGGGAAGTCTTTCTCTTGTTTACTAGCATCGCGTGGGATCCCGTTTGAAAAACTCTAATCAGAATGTTAACACTTAGATTTAAATATAACCGCATGATTCCTTTAACCCCACCCCCTCCCCCGCATTTTTCTTTTTAATTCTAATTTATTATCTTTCTTCCCCATGCCCCACCCTTTTCTTACCAAAAAATATTAAATTTCTGATGGTTTCTCCAGATTAAAAAAAAAAAAAAATTATATATATGCCAATTTCCAAGGCGGAGAATGAATTCTCCAGGTCTAGGACATTTTCCCAACGTCTGGTAACACTGATATTATCAAAGGTTAGCGGCCAGACCCAAATGAAGAAACTCACATGCTGATACTATTGAAGTATATCAACACAGTCCCTGATACAAAGGTTTTACAACGAAGCGATTGTATCAGCATCCACATTCTCCTTCAAAAAAGACAATCCAGATGGACAGGGCATTTCGCAAGAATGCCAGACAGCAGACCTCCCAAACGACTAACGTTCGGTGAACTATTCAAACGTTTCTCCAGTGGGAAACGCTCAGTTGGTGGGCAGAAAAAAGAAAACCGCTTCAGGGACTACCTAAAAGCTTCACTTAAATCCATAGATATTGACCTTGTTTCGCGAGAAGCACTTGCCATGGACCTTGCAATCTGGCGTGGCAAACTCACTGGCGTAGCAGTCAGACTTACTGTCGGAGCAAAATTCTCCAGAGAATAAGCGCACCGCTCACGCCCAAAGATAGCACATGGCAAGAAAAAGCAGAATCGGCTCAAATCCCACCAAAAAACAGCGTGTTTACCACGTACGGGGAAAGCTTTCCAGGCACAAATAGGAGTGGCAGGCCACCTGCGGGCCAACCGTGTAATACAGCCTTGGTCATCTTTGCATGCGAAGGAGGAACAACAACAACAGTATAAATGTAACAATACAACACGGCACGGTGGAATCTTTGCCTTTTATTATTGAACAGCATGAAAAGCTACTTAATTAGTTCTAAACATAGCACACAGCCTTACTTGATCTAACTTTGGATTTCTTAACAAATAAATTTTTAAAAAAAGTAAATAACCAGCGACCAGTTATTTATTCTAGACATCAATCCTGAACAGAATACAAATGTTATATGTACACTCTTTTCCCGGCGCTCGTATCTATAATACATATAAAACACTCATAAATAAATGCCATAGTTTTATTTTGGGGGGTGGGGTAGGTATTTTTCAATGTCTTTTCAAGGGGGTCATGAATTGGGGTACTAAACTCGATACATTAAATTATTAT